TGTCAAATTATTATTATTAGATATAAAATTAACTCTCACAATATTTATCGCCCAAATATGTCCTACACGAACATATTTATCCTTGGTGTATCAGAGATATCTTAAAAGTTTTGTTTTTCACCCCCTGTCATCTTTGGAGCTTTGTGTGATCCACAAATTGTTATTCTGAGTCTGGGTTCTTTGTGTCCGTTTCATGAATGTTTATAAAGTTCCCCGTGTTACAATATATTCTTAGTGCAGTAGGTAGGTAGTACATTGTAAAAAAATACGAGTTTACCTAAAATCACTGCAGACGGATCACCTGATGATCACCTACAATTCATGAGACATAAGTGCGCTGGAGCCCTATGAGGACCCCCTCTCTCCCTAATTCTGAGGGAGAGAGGAAGTATGGGTTTTGGTAATCTAACTCACTCGGTAAAAAGCAACGAAATAATTGTGTAACATTGGTGTTCTGTGAGGTTGTCGTATTACACGGATCGAGGCCGCCGAAAAATGGCTCTCCCATCTATCTTCTAACTCTCGTACCGCGCGCGCTGGGTGATTACACACTTCCGTCCATCTCCTGTCTCAAGAATTATAATAATATTATTATATTATTATAATTCTCACACACTCATACATGGCCGGTCTGATCCCAAACTAGGCAGAGCCTGTGCTATGGTGACCAGACTGCTGATACTTATATATTTCTAAATACATACATATCTATATATATAAAAGAAAGTCGTGTTAGTTACACTATTTATAACTCAAGAACGGCTTTACCGATATGGCTGAAAATTGGTGAGGAGGTAGCTTAGAGCCAGGAGACGGACATAGGATACTAGTTATTCCGTATTTTTTTTTTTTTGTATCGGCGTCGATCACCAGATGAAAACGGTGGAACTGTCATAACAAAAGTGAAAAGAATGGATTTCGTTGTCGACAACAGTTGTACTTAATTTTTTTTTCTAAGAAAATAAATAACTTAATAAATTCGAAAATCGGCTTATTTATTGCCTTTAAGGCGGAACAGAGTTCGCCGGGTCAGCTAGTTATAGATAAATTACACCCAGACACAGAACAAATGACCGTGCTCATCACACAATATTTGTCCTGGGTGGGAATCGAACCCACGACCTCCGGTTTAGCAGTCAGGGTCACTAACCACTAGACCAACAGGCCCGTCAAAATTCACTGGGTTATACATCAAAAGGAGAGAAATAAAATACAGATTGGAACGTATATTATTTTATTGATTCACATACAACATTGATCATACATGATAACATTTATATCGCTATTGTTTGTACTTACATAATTATATCTGCTTTCTATCCTACATTATGTATTTCAAATCAAAACATTCTCAAATAAACATTTTAGTACCACTCTTTTTTGTCTTTGAATTTCTTGCCTACATATGCTAGTGTCACAGAATAAATAAAAGTAGCAGTGTGAACATTGAAATCTTATATTCTATCTACTTAATATTCCAAATTCAAAGGCATTTCATAGTAAAGGCTAGATTTTATAAAAACATAAATTATTTTATTTTTAATTTCCCGCCTTTATTGCTGATTAAACATTCAGAGGGCCAAGTGCGAGTTTATTTCAAATTAACTCACTCGACTCGTCAACGAGTGCGTTTGGGGTTGTGATTGGTGATGATTTTAGCGCGGGCCAATCGCAACGCCGAACGCGATCACCGTGTCGAGTGAGTTCATGTGAAATAAACTTGCACTAGGGCCTCAGGCCAAATTCTACGGTATGCATCGCAAATTATTAGTTACAAAAGTAATGCATTTTTTTTTTTCGCATCTATGATCTACTGGAGTTGGGCAAGAGAATATGTGTAGAAATAAACACTTTTTTAAAACAAATAAAAATTACAATTGGTACATACGTTATTAAATTAGCACGTTTTTTTTTCATGGCACGAGCTGACTTGTCGGTCTGCCTGCAACTCAAAAGTCACAGAGTACCTACGCTAACACCCTTTAAGCCTTTGGGATTTTGGGCTCCAAACATTTCACTCACTTGGTGAAAGTAACGAAAAAATCTTATACATCGGTTTTTTGTGACTAATAATTTAATAAGAGATCAGTTATATCAAAACCAGGCCTTGGATCTGGTTGCCCTGCCGTGCAGTAAAGTAATTTAAATAACCGGAAACTAGGAACTGCTGATTTGATATCCAGAACTAATCTAGAAGCTTTGATCTTAATGCTGAATCTTGTGGAATTGACAGCCATAGTAAAAATAGATTTATTTCAAACCACGAGATAAACAGCTGTCTTCAACATAAGAGATAAAACAGTACAGATTGATTTACACACGTTGCCGAAAATACAGGAAAAGGCAGACTACTTTAAAAAAAAGTATCACCGGCTTCAATGCGCCTAAACTATACTCTTCCTATGTTAACTTTCGGTTTTAGAGTTGATTTTTTCTTCAAATTCAATTGGGATTAAACGGAAAGGATACACGTTCATATTATACATAGGAAACACTCAAACTCCGAAACAAATATTTGCAGAACCCTAGACCTCAGCACAACAGTCGCAAACCGCTGTACCATCGATGCAATCTATAATATCTAACGAGATAAGTTGAGAATGTTTGGATATACACTCTTACTGTAAATATCTATAATTGGTATATTATCCTAACTATTATTAAAAAGGCGAAAGAAAATGCAATTATTTATGTTATTTGTTTGTTTGTTTAACTTTCATGCGTCAACTACTTCACCGATTATTACGTAACTTTACACACATTTGGTCCGGAGTAAAGAACAAATGTATATTACGGTATATACCTTCTTCCAGGATAAAGTACAGATCTCCGTGAACTGATTGACAAAGTATAAATCACTCGAGCGAAGCCGATACTAAAAGCTAGCCTATTTATACTGTTTAAATTGACTTATAATATCTGTAATTTGTAAGTTTTCTGTAAATAACGGTCCTTTTTTGTCAATTTTTAATTGTTTTAGAGTCGTTTGTTGTTTAATGCTCACTTTATGCGAAGTTGAACTTGTTTTTACTTCAAAAAATTAAATTTAGTTCATGGTTGCATATTGTTGCTATGCAAGAGAAGGAAACCTTGGCACAACCCCTTTTCCCACCCGTCTGGCCAGCGTGGCATAGTAGGTTAAAACCTCCTTTCTAAGGACAGGGCCTATGTCCATCAGTGGACTAGTGAGGACTGTTGATGAATGTTGCTATGCACAAAAAAACTATTGCTAAAAGAACAATTTTTCTTTTTTATGTTTATAATACAATAATAACATAACATTATAATATAAATATCACTTATTAGTTCATGTTAATAACTAGAAACTTATCGTGATTTGATTCTTGATGTTTTGAAGATTAAGGTTAAAATTTATAGATTTGCAAGGTCAGGAGCAAGAGAATGGGCAGTTCAAAACTTAAAAAAAAACTTTTGGATTAAACATTGAGCGACCAAAGTGAGATTTAGTTTAATGATAAGTGAAAAAGTTAGTGGAACATCTGGTGTTCTCCATAGACAATAGAAGTATCCACGTCTTATCACCTTTCTTCAATAGATATGTTGCTTTTTTACTAATATTCTATCGAGGTGGATTTCCCTAACTTACGTGTCTCGTTTATTAGCAGTTTCCACAGGAGAAACAAAGTGTTCTCGGTACTCAAGATCTAACATAGATTTCTATAAGGTCTCAATAAGAGTCCCGAAACCCAATGGACACCTGTCATCTCTTGTTAGAGTCGTGGCTAAATTTGTACTATGAGACGGTGTTAACAAGTAAAGAGTGTCTAACCGTCCACGGACAAAAGCGAATCAAATGATATATGGCCTAGTGGAAGTGGGGAGTTTACCACCCAATTATATACGATTTTGAATTGATTTGATGATCAAAAATGTCTAATTTATCGGTGAGCGAGCGAGATAGTCGCTTTATTCAAGCAAAAGCAAAAATTTTCTCCAATTTTCATATGAAATTATTTTCGTAACATTTTTTTACAGACTATTGAGTTAATAAGTAAGCTGAAAATAATAGGCTATCAATCCACCGGGGTGGCGGCGAGCGCGTTGCGAATCGCGCTCGCTTCCAGGGAGCACAGGGAACATGGGGTTCCCACACGGGGGGGGGGGGGGTCGTCTACTCGTCTGTAGATGACCCGAGGTATGTCGGGGCACCAGGGACTTCCTTTCTAGGGTATACCTGGTTCCCCGGCTATTAGTACCCGGCGAAGGCGTGCGGTTTTAGTCGGTTCGAGTCCGACATGCCACCGACAGATGGTATCCGAGGGGATTTCCGCACGGGAAAAAAAAAAAAAAAAAAAAAAAGGCTATGAATCCATAAGGAATTGAGTGCCATATGCAGTGCTGTTTATATCGTAACTTTATTTACGGAATGACACTGTCATTGGTAGTTTTTTTTTCTATCATCTAGTTGACGGGTCGAAAGGAAACGGATGATCATCCTTCTTAGTACGGTATCAAAATGTTAAAACTGCATGTAAACGCTACGGTTAAACCACATTGATGTATTAAGTACTTCTTCTAAGTGTAGAAATGTATAGGCGTATGAAGTAATAGTGGGGGAGGAACTGCCTTCAACATTCCGTGTGGTGACGGATTAAGAATACGTAATGTCACCACCCCTATTCATCCCGTGGGTGACGTAAAAGTCGACTAAGGGAGAAAACTACGCAGGACAACAGCGCTGCAAAGAGAAGGAAAACTTGACACAAACCCTATACCAACCCGTCTGTCTAGCGTGGTATAGTAGGCCAAAACCTCCTTCCAGAGGAGAGGCCTATATCCAACAATGGACTATCACAGGCTGTTCATGATAATTGATGAGGAACTAACTTTTAGCTTATGAATACTCGTAGTTAGAACAAAGAAAAAAGATCAAGCTAAGATTAAATTGATTAAGACACGGTAGAATGTATATCACGGTGATTTTTTGGTGCTATATGCTAACAAAAGTAGAACAAACCAAGTAATATTAAATAAGACCATCAGATGTATTGAGCGAAATGTATCCAGTAGATGGCGTTGAGCAAAGAGAATAACGTAGGGAAGAAGACTCGAGAGAAACGGTCTATGTTGATCGCCCGAGTCTTGGCCCGGGCTGCTTCGGCCGCATCCTGTCGTAAAAAAGTAGTAGTATTTCACGCAATCATAGATAATTTGTATTAAGTATTTGCTTTTGGTTGAGAGGTTGGTTACATATTTAGAATCAGGGATGGCTCTTTCTCAACAGTGTAAGGAAGATACGAGAAGTGGCTGGCAAGGTAAATTCAGGAAAGTAAAACATTTTGACATAATATTTTTTTCTTGAAGAGATAATTTAAAATTGCATTTTTAAAATATACGTTCTCTAGTGAGACATCTTAGACAATTTTGAATATTTAATAAAAATCCTTCAGTATTTAACCAGTAGTTGGATCATTTTTGATTTTACTTCCATTACTTACTTACCTTTGTTTTTCCAGTCCCATCGCCCAAAACAATGTTAACCAGGCAATATTCCATCAGCGCCATGAACACGAATCTGCAAAAATACCCTCAATACATACATTTGTATAGGGTTGGGCCTGGTAGTGGCCAACGCACAAATGACAACATTGGTTTGTAGTGGCATACAAATATGTTCTTTTTTCTAACTTGACATAGTATACGTACGTTGGGTGACGGATTAAGAATACGGAGTGTCACCACCCCTATTCATGCTATGGGTGTCGTAAGAGACGACCAAAGGAGCAAACTACGCAGGACAACAGCAGAGAGAAGGAAAACTTGACACAAACCCTATACCAACCCGTCTGGGGCTTGGTATAGTAGGCCAAAACCTTATTTCTAAGGAGAGGTCTATCACTATCAGAGGCTGTTGATGATGATGATACGTAACTTAAATAAGGCAAAAGCAAATACCAAAAAAAGCTAGCTAGCCTTGTATTAATCACATATGATGTGATTAACGCAATGACTCTCATCTACCATCTTATGGCCAATACCAGAACTGCGCGCTTTTATTAGTCAAATCAATTTTCCCTCTCGTGTTACTAAATCGCTCCCGTAGATTGCAGGAAAGAGAGAGGAAATATAATAAGGATCTGAAGGGACGGGAACTCTGACGTCATCAACAGAGATAAAAGTCGAGTGAGGGAAAGAGAGGCAACTGTTCCGAAAATAAAATTGTAGCTAACCCTTGAGTACCTGCGACCTGAAGTGCACATTATTATGACGGAGCCAAGGTCAATATTAATTTAAACTATCTATCGAATTAAGCCTTTTAAATAAGTGATGTTGTGTATTGCTATATTATACTTACACAGTACACACAGACATGAATACATCAACTGCCTTCAGATAGGATACGGGTGGCAGTTGCGCCTGCGACTTTGCATGTTGCGTTGACAATGTGAGTAGTGACGTTACGCCTAGAGTCACTCGAGCAGGCGCCGCGTCCGGCTTGATCCAAAAAGACACCCACTGTTGGCAAAATGGTGTAGTTTTTATTAAACGGATTAGTGTTAAAGTCGGTAACAAACCGAGGGTCAAATTAATGACATACATATTTCATCTTCAATAACTTCAGGTGTTTTGCTTCTTTGGTGGTATAAATAAATAACCTAGCAGCGACAACGGCGCTTGTAAATAGCAACGCATTACAGTCTGCTCATTACATTTAAGGTTTAATGATAGTAGACGTTAGACATGGAAATTATTGCTACTATTAAATATAATGAAATTATTGGTTTCAGTCACAGCGATTTCAGGTGATAGAGAAACACAAATGCCATCAATTTTCCCCCTTTTATTTTGATTTTGATCTTTCTCGTGTCTGGTGCTAGCATAATGATAATAAGTCATTGTGGTTTTGTGAATAAGTCACAGTTGTGTTGTTAAATCATATGATTTTGATCAGTGTGATTGTGATTTTATTCCATCCCCAGTAGACGTAGATGAATGGAACATTGTAGGAGAAACAATAAATATAATACTCACAGACATGATGACTATCAAACAGGTCGGTATGTAAGTATTGAAAAGGTGATATCCAAGACGACGCTTTAATTTGAAGATCACTTCCAAGCAGGTGAAGTTACCTGTAATATTAGAGTTAATTACATTTAAAACAAGTTGTAAATAAAAAAAAAACAGAACTTTTCTATCTCTGAGACCTGTATTGTCACAGTAGGCGAGTCTAAAACACGAGGAATATATCCTGTTTGGCGCGGGTCCTTACTAACATACGAGCACTTAGGGTTAAGGGCTCGCAGTTACAAACATACATGAAACGGACACAAAGAACACCCAGACTCAGAACAATAATTTGTGGTTCAAACAAACTGTTGTCTCAAGTGGGATCGAACCAACAACACTTAACGCAGTAGGAAGCGGCGAGGAGACCACTTAAACTACTACGCCATCCGTGCAGACACATTCATAATTTAACGTTAGTAGTGGGGGAGACCGAGGGGATTTGAAACAAAGGTGATTTGAAACAGTAGGGATTTCTAGAAACTTAAAGCCGTTAGCGAGTTGGCAACGTCGCTTTTTAGCCACTTCCATCCGTCTGCTGATGTGTCAGTTCGCGTCGGTGGCATAAGTCGCGCGGTTGTGAAGATCTGCATGCCATGTGACAAAAATCGTGAAAAGTAAGCTTTTAACGCCTTTTTACGATGCCTATATTTTGATAAGGGTTTTGTATTTTGGTTTAAGTTATATATGTTTCGAAGGCTCATTAACTAAAGACATTTTATATATATAGAGTACTATTGATTTCTGTGTATTTGTTTCTTGGTTGTGGATTAAATAAAAATTGGGAGGTTTTTTCTTACTGAGGAAATTTGAAACAGCCTGTTTCAACTCTCCGCGTTTTCAATTTCATATCAGTATTTTACATGATTCTAGTACACCAAGTCCATCAATCTTAAATTTACCCGCTACTCTTCCTCAAATCAGCTACGAAACAGAAGACGTACCCAAGTCTGCAGAAGATGTTGATAAGAATTCACCTGATCTAGCGATGTCTGAAGTAATGCTTAATACTATCACAATGCCTTCAACCACTGGATCTATAGCTGTAGCATCTACATCAATTTAGTTACTGTGACAGCAATTCCATTCTCACCTGAAACTCTTAGGCCCTTGCCAAAGGCGCCACCAAGGAAAGGAAATCAAACAAATGGACGCCAAGTGAAATCCGCTATCTTAAGCAACACTCCCGTAAAGGATGAACTTGTTGCAATCGTGGCAACTAGAACGGCTAAGAAAAAGGTAAAAAAACTTATCTTTGAAGAAATAAAAACAAGAAAAAGATCCAAACTAGGTACTAAAACTAAAAAGTTCAAGGATCAGTGAAGATAAAGAAGAATCCTTTTGCCTTTGTTGTTCTGTGTTGTTTATCTGACTGGTATTTTTATTAATGTTACGAATAGGACGTTATGGTACTTTTAACTACTTTAAGAGTTGTTTATTTCTATTAACCTTTAGTTACCTACTTAACTGATATATAAGTCCAAAATATCAATAAAAAAGTTTGTTTCGTACTTGAAAAGTTTTATTTTAATAAATACCTTTAAATTATGTCATAATTTTTATTTTACAGCCCTTAATACTTATCAAAAATCGTATGTTTCAACTCTCCTCGGCCCCTGTTTCATCTTATCTCGGTATGAGGGGAGTTGAAACAAGTTGACTTGTTACGGTTAAGTCGATTTTTCACCACAATATTTAAGGCTTACAATTTCTTTATATTAGTCATTCGCAAGTGTAAAGAATTACCTATCGATTGGTACTAATATCATACGATTTCTGTCTATAGTATTTAGTGTATGAAACAAAATGTCAAAATTGTTTCAACTCCCCTCGGTCTCCCCTGTAATTAAGCAAATCACAGGCATGAAAAACATATAAATTACATTGTATATTAAAAGGACTACTTGCCGTTGGTGAAAATATAACAGTGTCCTTTAAACTGGGATAAATAGTTCTAATAGAACCTTTGCCAACTCTAGAGATTACACACAAATATTACCAATCTAACTCCATCTTAACCTACTTTCTTAAGTAATCCTCTTTTAACCCAAAATTTTATTGTTTGAACACAGACCCGCTTACCAAAAGGTTAATTGATAAGCAATCTTTATTAGTTCTGTATTATCTTACTTAGCTGGCATTAAATGAGGCATTTTTTCGAACGCCTTGATCTGAGAGGGTTTTTTATCATAGCATTACAAGTTACAATACAATATATCTTTCTCAAAACATATCGCAAAATTCACGAACTAACACACGTCTGTTTTAAAAAAATAAGTAGATTTAGAAAGTGTCTAAAACATTAAAGATGAGAAGTTGATTAGATTTGGAATTGAATAAACATACAAAATATCCCTTAGAAGGGATAAAGGTTCTTAAAAAACGAACAAGAATTGTCAGATGACATTCAAGTAAAAAGATTAGGTTCAATTGGGTTAACTGGATTTTAAAAGATTCTCTTAATCCTATGAGAACATAGTAATTGTGTCAAGTAATTAGTAAATAGATGAACTCATCTGTTTTACGATTTATTGATATGATTAACAACTGGGCTTATAGCGAAATGAGGCCAAGGTACAAATTACACATAAACACTCACGCCTATGAAAGGATGGGCAGAGACCATTGATATACAAAAAATGGCAGAGACGTATTAAAACGCTTATATCTTGCCATAGCAGTCAGTGTCACTTACCACTAGACCAAGAGGCTTGGCATTGAGATCTGGATAAAAAGGAAAGGTAAAAAAAGAATATTACTTATCGGGGTTAATTGGGGATTGAAGGCAATAACACGTGTGGGTCAGAAATTGAGTTCACCCCTATTCATCCAGTGGGTGTCGTATTGGTCAATGGAATAAAACAAAACATTTAAAATTGTCTAAATTTCACCGCTGGTGGTCTCAAGTTAAAAAGAAATAGATCACTTGCATTTGTTTAATTTTCCGACCTATGAGATATGGCTAAGTCCTAAATTAATAAACAGAGTATATAAGTTACAAGGTCTTCAGTTACAAGTCCTAGACAGTCCAACTAAGAGAAATTTTTGTGTCAGAAAACTAGAGAGATTACACAAAATGGAGATAACAGATGATATAGAGCCTATTGGAGCCCAGTGATGACCATATGGAATGCGTAATTGGGATTTAATCACCATCATCATTATCATCTCAGCCGGAAGACATCCGCTGGTGAACATAGGCACCCCCAAGTCTGTCCACAACAACCTGTCCTGTGCTGCCCGCATCCAACGGCTTCCCGCGAACTTCATCAGATCGTCGGACAACCTTGTAGGGGGTCTACCCATGTTCATTCTTCCGGTACGTGGTGGCCACTCGAAAACCTTTTGGCCCCATCGGCCATCGTTTCCAAGAGCAATGTGCCTCGCCCACTGTCTCTTAAGTGCCATAAGTCATAACTGGCAACAAACTGATGAAAGACTTTTGTCTTGAGACAATGCAGTGTTTCAGACGAGAAAATGTCACGTAGCTTCCCGAACGCTGTCCAACCAAGGGCTGGGATTTGATCGCGATATTTTATATACAATTTGGATATATATTTATATATGTATAAACTCAATTTTGCTGGGAAACGTTTTAACAGACTCTTGTTCGCTAATGTATCAGTGCAAGTCCTAAAAATCACTTACCTGTGGAGTATACATGAGTGCAGTCAGCTGTTGAGTTCTGCACGAGCTCTAGTTGTGGTAACTCGATGTTCTCATCCACTTCCAACGGAAGCTCAGTGTTCCACTGGAAGATCAGGTCGTCCGTCGTATGGGATACTAGAAAAAAACATTTTAACCAACGATTAAAAGAGTAATGACATCGTTTTCCTCAGGTACTAGCAGCATACTTTATGGTTTTTAGTATTACCAGAAAAGCATAGATAAACACGTACGGTTTAATTGACCTAAAAGCATTCCTGCTAAGTTAGTGACACTTTGATGCGCAATTTTTGATTAAAGAGCATTTTGCTCTTTTCATAATGGGTCGTTAGACCGCGAAGAATAAAAGCGTATAAACCTACCTACTGTAAGTTTTTGTATTCTCGAATTCTAAAACATTACAATTATCCAAATTGATTAGAGTTGTGTGTGGTATGAGCCACGTACATACTGTATGTACCTAAAGATGTTTTCAGTCCACTGTGTCGAATAATTTCAGATAGTTGCAAATCAACCTGCGCGGCTGCGTATTAATTACACGTCGTTTTACTTAAAAAATCAGCCGTCATGCTAAAGTAACCCCTATACATTAAAAAACACTGTATTAATGAATTTTATTTTAGCAGTTCTTAGTAATAAGTGACATAATACATGAGGAATATTTTTGTATTCCTTTTTAATTAAATGGGGTCACCCAAGCAAAGCAAAATTTTAAATACTTAATGTTTAGGTAAATGTAAAAGAAGTGTACAAAAGTACGCTTTTAAAAAAAATACCCGCCACAAAATGAAAATTTATGTAAATATATGTATATTTATGTTTTGACCAGTCGTGGTATAAAAGTTTAAACAATGATAAATATTATGCAATTGGCCTTACCTCTAATTTTAATCTACATGTCAATATAATCTACATTTAATGACGGGCCTGTTGGTCTAGTGGTTAGTGACCCTGACTGCTAAACCGGAGGTCGTGGGTTCGATTCCCACCCATGACAAATATTGTGTGATGAGCACGGTCATGTGTTCTGTGTCTGGGTGTAATTTATCTATAATATGTATGTATTTAGAAATATATAAGTATGTTTATCAGCAGTCTGGTTACCATAGTACAGGCTCTGCCTAGTTTGGGATCAGACAGCCGTGTGTGAGTGTGTAGGGATATATTATTATTATTATTATGTGCAAACGAAACTTGTTAGTTGATCAAAATAGTCGAAATTAGACCAATTTTGATTATTTTCAATACATTGATTGGGATAAGTCAGGCGATATCTTAAACGTTAAAATCAATTAGAGGTCAGTGTACGTGTGCATCTGGATCGAAGGCTCATTTTTTAAATCTTTGCTTTGATTTATAGGGTAATTAGTAAAAACTAGTAAAAGCTAAGAGCAAAGGGCCATGAATTTCTTAAACGAGAATTAAAACTGTTATGATTAAATAACAATCCAGACGCTTGCGTTAAATGGCATAGCCTAAATCTCAGAAAGTACCTACTCTTTGGGTCAATTATTTTTATTTAAGATTTTCTGAAAGATTTTAAGAAATGCCCAAATGTGTAAAATTTTACATTACAGATTTATGGCGCAGTAGATATATCTATAATCTATCCCTCAATTCATTAATGTCTTAACTGAGAAATCTGCAAAACATGAATTTATTTTAGGGAATACATAAATACCATAAATACGACTTTAATCCATTTTTCTTAAATACCTCTGAGAATTAGTTAAATAGAAATAATGACACAAAGTTGTTAAAAAGTAAATAAAAGTCGAATTATACTAAAACGTCTGAACTGAGAGCCCAATGTTTTTGGCTTTATTGACTAAGCTCAACCTCATAGATTAACGCAAATTAGAATAAGTTTTTTTACTATAATATCTACGTTTTTTATTCAAATATAACATTTCGTCCGTTCTTCTAAATGCCATACTATAAGAGAAAATTGATTTTAATTTTTTTTTTGTGGGGGAATATTTTGCAGGGTAGATACTTATGTTTGTTTTTTTTTAACTGATCGTTACGTACCTGAGTGTACATAGTGATCAGTTGAAAAGTTTTTACTATTTTTTGCTAATTTCCCTATAAACCTTATGTCGTTTCGCAAAGATTCTAACTTTACTACAACAGTAGAAAAATTGTTTTTAAAATCAACTGGAACCAAATTCTTTCTCATGTTGTAAAGGAAATTTGTTTGTTATTCTTTCAAACCTTAATCGGTTAATAAGTTAGTAATTGGTCATCATGAAATATTGCACACACCTAGGAAGTAGCTGAGAAAAGCTCATAAGGTAGAATAGAAGAGAACCTTTTACGCAAAATCAATCGCTGCCAAAATCTAGAATAGCGTAATTTAACACTGCTCACATTAATTTCAAGAAATTAATAGCACGCGTTAGTTTAATGACGTTAGGTGCATAATGAGTCACGATAGTCCGATAGTTTCAACGAAATAAGACAAATACTTATTACTAAAAAAATTAAAACATATACTATAAAGGATCTGTGTTATCCTTTACTGGTTTCCTCATTTAAGCAAGCATCTTTATTTAAACAAATCTCATTGGGAAAGTCAGAAGTTCCTTTTATGAATCTCACGTTTTCGTAATGTAAACACTGTTTAAAAACTTTTGTCTTTAAGCACTAGGGTAAAAACCTTACGTCATTCTCTCAAAAAAGGTCCAATATATCCAAACATTAAAGCATTCCTTTCAAGAGGTTTTTCAATACGCAAAGTTTGTCGCGATACAGAAAATTATCGTTCCGAGTACTTTTTAGATGTGGGCCAAGGGTGCTTCTGAGCACTCGAGCTCGTCATGTCAGCTTGTTCTTATCGCGTGATCAGGAGAAGGTTAAAAATAGGAGCGATGAAGAAAATGATGCTTATCGGGGAAATAGTAGCGGTGAGTTACAAATACTTAAGTATATTAAGTGGTAATTTGGGTGCAGGTATGTGAAGTCAACTTAACTTCACGTAGATGTTGTTTTTATAATGTTATAGAAAACCAAACTAAAAAATAGAAAATAAATTTTGATAAATTTGAAAAAAAGCGTATTGTTGGCGTCAATAGTAAAAAGCACCCCACGCTTTTTTTCAAATTTATTAAAGTTTATTATTATAAAATATTTTATTTAAAATTTATTTATATCTACAAAGTTTGAACGAATTCTGACCGTTTATAGTCAGTCAAAATCACGTCCAAAGGAGTCGGTTACAAACATACAAACAAACAAACTTACAAGTGAAGCTAATATAAAGCGTGTAAAATAAATGAGAGATGTGCCTGATTTCTACCAAAAGGATTATTAGAGGATTCAACTACACTAGATTTTAACGTCTAAAATCAATGAGAAAATCCTTTATTATTATATATACCTACATATATATAAATATACATTATATTCCTTTTTAAACAAATATAGCGGACGTAAACATATCATATTTGCGATTCTTAACGAATATAGATCAAGATCAAGTACACAAATCTTAAATATTTAAACAATGTTTGATATAAAGCCTTCCGTGTTTTGAAGAATTAAGAATACGGTGTGTCACCACCCCTTTTTATCTAGTAGTTGTCGTAAGAGCCGTCTAAGGGAGCAAAGAGAAGGAAAACTTAACACAAACCCTTTACTAACCCGTTTAGCAAGCATGGTTTAGTAGGCCAACACTTCATTTCTGAAGAGAGACCTATGTCCAGCTGTGGACTATTAAAGGCTGTTGACATGTTGTTATAAAACTAAAAAAATATATGTAAAAATGGCTACATACATAAAAATATTGTACAGTTCATTTTAGTTTAGAGTTTATTGCACATCAGCTCGCTCTCGACACCGAGCGCGTTCGGCCTTGCGATTGGCGCAGATTTCAGTGCCGGCCAAACACCGAACGCGGTCAGAGTGACGATAGAGTAGAAATCAAATAAACCCACACTTGGCCCTAAGGGGAATAAAAACACCACTAGTACTAATTAAATCGAAGTATGTGTGCTATAGGTGTGAGCTTAGAACTTGTGAGCTTTGTGAAGTGAAGCGAAGAGTTATGAGAGAAGACAATTTAGTTTATGCGCGTAGGTACGTAAAAAACATAATTCTTGAGGTTATTTACTTTAAAAAGTATTCAGAGAAAGTTGCAGTTCTAAGTACTAGAGGTATGCGTAGCTGTATGGGTATATATAAGAGAGGTCTGAATCCATCTTTGGAGCAATTTTATATTGCTCAAAAAGTGCAATGAATTTGCCGCGTCTTCATTGAGTCGTGTAATCAGCACATGTTTTTTGCAGCCTTATTAAAATAGAACTGGACCCGTAATTTTGTAGTTTACCTTTATCACATACCTACCTCGCACATCTCTAATGGAACCACAACCTAAGTTAAACATTAAATCAAAAGTTATCGCTAGTAGTTTCCCAAAGAGTGCAACAATATCTCTCAGAATTATTTATGATATTATTTTGAAATATATCTAAGCGACCGATGAAAACAATCGAATAACAATAAACTATCCAGTGTCATATGTGTATATTATACGGTGTATACACTGAATAACACAGTGACTTGTATAAATTGCACATAAAAGTAACTTTATTTTCTATCGCCATTTTATTGTTCTTTATCTTGCTTTTTTGTGTTCCGCCCTGCTTGATTTATAGAATTTATAATATACTATATAGCTGCCCCACCAAGCTTCACGGTGGTACATTGATGAGAAATAATTAACAAAACTGACGCGAAAAATAGAAAACACATAGACAATCTTTGAAATCGCTTGTAATATCGCTTGAAATATCGTGTCAAAATTTTAAGTCAATCAGTGCAGAAGTTTTTGAGCACATATCAATTAACATTTATAAATGTACTTATATAGATAGATAGATTTTGGAAATATCATCCCGGTACTGCTCCAGCTGGTCATGGTCGAGTAATCAGGGCGACAGTGCAAGATCTATTTCCAAGCGACCGCTGCTTCGGAACGAATTTATACTCGGTCGCTATCCATCTGTCACCAGTGCGACTATGATATACTCCGTACATGTTTCTCGTTATACGTCAAGAATTCGAGAGTATCTATCATTACCTGAAGATGCTTTGCGGCGGATCCTTCTGCGAGGATGTCATCTAACTAAAAGAGGCGAAACAGGTCCGATAGATAGATCATTCAGGCACTATTAAGTGCTAGCGAACTTAAAGATGAAACGGATATTCTACTTTATGGAGCAGCAAGTTCTATTGCCTATCCATGCTTTTGCTGATTTACTTTAGCCGTAGTTATGGCACACTCTGTGGTTTTAGTTGATTCGAATCTGACACACTGATATCCACCGAAGACAATGATCTACACTTCTAACTTTTTTTTTGTGCGGAATTTTCCTCGGATATCACCCACCGGTGGTTGTGTCGGACTCCGAAACACCGCACGCCGTCTCGGGTATCAGTTGCCGGTGACCCAGGTGTACCCTAGGAAGGAAAACCCGGATACCCCGACGTACCTCGGGCTATCTACGGCGTGTAAATGACCCCCTCCTGTGTGGGAACCCCTATGTCCCCTTTGTGCTCCCGAAATCGCGCGCGCGGTTCGAAGCGCGTCTCGCCACCACCCCGGCCTTTAAATCTGGGGAAAAAGTATGTCCCGAATGACCTTGAAGAAATTTTTGCATAGTGAATTTCTTGCTCAACAGAAATTACTGTAGCAAAACCGTTTGTCTTTAGCACACGTTTTTTGTACTCGCTGTGTTTAGTCGCAGAAATCTACATAAATTGTGGCCCTCACTTTAGTCTTATTTTGGTGTTTTTTCCTTAAATACTTTGATTATGAACTAGTTATGAAATCGTAGTTTTTGGGGTTCCGTACCCGTCTGTCTGTCTGTCTGTCCGTCTGTCACCAGGCCGTATCTCGAGAACCGTGTTAGCCAGTTAAAATTTTCACAAATGATGTATTTCTGTTGCTGCTATAACAACAAATACTAAAAACAGAATAAAATAAATATTTAAGGGGGGCTCCCATACAACAAATAATATTTTCGATTACGATAAATACGATATTTTTGCTGTTTTTATAGATCATTATCTACGGAATCCTTCGTGCGCGAGTCCGACTCGCACTTGGCCGGTTTTTTTAATATGCCTACTTAGATTATTTCTAATAACCTTTGCTACTATAAGATTAATGACTTGTGTTTGTAATGTACTTTGTATCCGTGTATGTTTTATGTAGGTATCTTTGTGTTACAAAACAAAAGATGTTTAAAATGGTTTTAATATCAGATTCACGAAGACCAAGAAACAAAACATTAACACACTAAACTATACGCATTAAATTAAAGGCTTTCCCCATTCCTATCTCCCGTAAAAGTAAAACAAAATCTATAGATTTATAAGCTAACCGTAAAAATATGTTCGATGGCTCTTCAACTTGGAGGCAGCTCGTTATGCATTCATTGTAGCTCGAGTGGTCTCAGGACGCGCCGACACAGCCTCTCTGGCTTCTAATTATAGTCTATGTTTGACATTTTCTCTTTTGATATTTTCAGTTAAGTTAAGTAGAGTATTTTTCGTGCCCTAGTTCTAATTTTAAATAGTGGCCTACTTAGTGGAAACTGGTCAGGTCATACATTCACGGGCTAACGCTATATCATGATCAGGATTGTAAAGAGCCTGGTCTAGTCCAAAATGGATTTGTTACCATAAACATGCATGATCATCATCAACAGCCTTTAATAGTCCACTGCCAGACGTGTTGGTATAGGGTTTGTGTCAAGTTTTTCTTCTCTCTGCAGTGCTGTTGTCCTGCGTAGTTTTCTCCCTTAGTCGGCTCATACGACACCCACGGGATGAATAGGGGTAATGACACTCTGCATTCTTAATCCGTCCCCACACGGACCATAAACATTATCATGAACAAAAAGGAGCTAAAATCCCTTACACTCACTTAGCTGTGAAAAGTTGCTATATAGCTGAAACTACTATATTTATACAATTCACTAGAAGTACTCCAAAGTAAGTTTAAAAAAAGTAAATGGGACCTAATGCAAAGTGTAGCTTCCAAAACAAACCAAGAATTCTTCAAGAGGTTTCATAAGTAACGGAGTTCTGAGGAAATTAGATTTAAAAATGTACAACCGAATTGAGCGCCTAAACCTTTTTTTACGGGAAAACGTTACGGGAAAAAGTTAATAAACAATTAGAGGAAATAAAAAAAAAATGATATGGGTAAAACCTGTTTAAAATTCAATTTATAATTGTATTTTGTGTGTTTCCAGAACCCCTTTACCTGTGCACACTCAACATGCAGAGATTCTGTCATTGTCGATCGTAGCCAAGTTTTACTAGTTTGTACCAGAACCAGAATCCCAAAAGTCTAAAAGACTCTTGGAATTTAGTTCTAACTGGATTAATCTTTTTATGTTTTGATAATTTGACCTTATATAAGTAAGATAAGTTTCCTTGAGAGTGTTATATGCGATCAAATGAGACCCGTACTGAGGAGCGTTGAACAATGGTGTGTATCACACAACTTGACATGATTGAAGATGATCATGTTCACAAACAAACGTAGCCTAGTAAATCGCAGACTTCCCAAATTGAAATTCTCTATTTGAAACCCAGCTTGCTCTTACCAAAGAGATCAAATACGTAAGAGTCATACAAGACAGTAAACTCCTGTTTAATAGGCACCGCGAAGAGAAACTAAACAAAGCCTTCATTGTCATCTGCCAATGCAAGCGGCTACTCGGCAAAAGCTGGGGACTATCACCAAAGATTACACTCTCTTTGTAGAGGATGCCTGAAAGCAGAAGAAACGGCGGCCCACGTAATTCTGGATGGATATTATCATAACTGATACAGAATCGCTCCTAGAAACCTATAAACGCCCGTGGAGGCTTCGGCGCTTCTGGAAGGAGTTTGTTTGACCCACCTAGCCCACTTTTCCTAGACGCATAAAGAACTGTTATTGAGTAAATGCGGAAACTGGAGCCCACAACTAATACCCTCTCAGGCCTGCCTGTCTGAATCGAACCTTTTAAAACCACACAGTGTGCCACTCTGCGCCTGACATAGGAGGGATCCGGGAACAACCGTTATTTAAACCTGCAAACCACTAGTAGTACTTACTGTCTAATTCATCGTATATAGTAAAAAAATCAACGAATAGAGGTGACAATTGAATATTGCGTCACCAAATATTTCCTTTACTCAATTTTAGCTCTATCTTCTTCCATACAGAACGCCAAAATTTTGTGTCACAATAATATTCTGACAAAACTAAATTACGGTGTTGCTGAAACCTACTGCTTTGAACCTACCTACTCCTTCAAGAAATGTTTTAAATATTTTGACACATTAAAAAATGCGCCGCACCTTGACCCACGTACACCCATGATCCCTATAATTGTCTATGGCGATGTGTGTTACTTCGACATGAGTTTGCTTCTTCTGTATCCCTTCCATAATTCTGACTTCGTGAATTCTTCGTTCTTCGTGCAAGTAGTACTGCTCTGGAATGCGCTTCCACTTGAAATCAGAGTGTCCAGAAACCGTTACACATTTGAAAAGAATGTACATAACTACCTTCTTGAGTTAGCGGAGTTACCTATTCAATAGTATACTTCCCTATTGACAGTGTATGTATTTGTGTTTATTTATATGTATAAATGTATATTTATGCATAAATGTATGTATTTTTATGTGTGTAATTAAATGTATGTGTTAGTTAAAACTTAATAACTAATATCAAAACTGTAACCTCAGTGCACCTACCTTACCAGATTTCTACACGACCTAAAGGTTGGCTGGTAGAGAATGGCCAGGGCATTAAGTCCGCCGATGTACACAAGTGCATAAAGTTGTAAATAAATAAAATGAAATTTATTATTTTCATATAGTACTCACAGCTTTCCATTTGAAGTTTACACTCCTGAGTATCATGTGGGTAGATCAAGAAATTCATAGCGCATGACAGTCTAAGAGTCAGTTTCACCATATACAATATCGCCTTCTCTTTCGATAACCACACATAGTGATTTGGAATGGTCATAGTTTGAAACGTCACTGATTTGGCATTCTTGAAGAAGGAGTCTGGTCGCCACATATGTTTCAGCCAGTCTACTTCCAGCAGTCTGGAAAAAGGTATAGGTTTAACGGATATCACATTAACGCTTTTCTGTATATGAGATAAGAATACTAATATCCCATCTCGCCTTCTAATTCTAGGGAGAAGGCAAAATACGGCAACGCACTTGTAACTCTTGAGATGCAGGTTTTGGGTGGCGGTAGACCACCGGGTGACCCGTCTACTCGTTTCATCCCTATACATACGAATATTATAAATGCGAAAGTGTGTCTGTCTATCTGTCTTTCTGTCTGTTTGCTCTTCACGCTTAAACCGCTGCATCGATTTAAATAAAATTTGGTATAGAGATTGTCTGAGTCCCAGGAAAGTACATAGGGTAGGGTTTTATCTCAGAAATCATCCTTGAAGGGGTGAAAGGGGGGGGGGGGGTGGAAGTTCACATGGGAAAACAATAACCGCTGAACAGATTTAGATGAAATTTGATATGGAAATATTTTGATTCTTGAGGAAAGACATAGGCTACTTTTTACCGCGATAACCGACATTAACGCGGGCGGAGACGCGGACAAAAGCTGGTTTCATAATAAATACAATTTTAAAGAGGAGATTTTGTAAAATAAATAATTTAATATCTATCAGATGCTGTGATACCTAAAGCACATTCTAGTTCATGTGTCAAAGAAGAAGCAGTCCTATCACCTTCATTTCTTCTGTCACTCTATTCAAAATATCCAAGATCTGATTGATCATTATTCAAACAGGAAAAGCATTTGTTATGTGAAATAAAAGGTCATGCTCTCAACAAATCTAATGTGTATAGAACTTCGCTAAATACCGACTTCATTATCAGTTAGTGACTCTAACTGCTAAGGCAGAGGTCATCATCAGCAACAGCTTTTAATATCCCACAGCTGAACATGGACCTCTCCTTAGAAATGAGGTTTTGGCCTACTATAACACGCTGGCTGAGGGCCGCTGGACGAGTTGGTATAGAGTCTGTTTCAAGTTTTCCTTCTATTTGCAGTGCTGTTGTCCTGTATAGCTTGCTCCCTTAGTCGGCTCTTACGAAACCCATGGGATGAATAGGGGTGGTGAAACTCCGTATTCTTAATCTGTCACCATGTCGTCACTGTCCGTACCTATGTTAATTAACATGCTATATTATAATAATATGGTATGAACAGTTTCTTACCTATATTCCGAAGTCATATTTTCTGGTAACCTTAAACGATGATCTTTCCAGGTTTGGGCAAAAAATATGTCTGCAGCATAAGTCTAAAACAAAAACAGCTTAATTCAATAATGCAACTATACTGAATGAATAAGATTCGCGATTGTATTGTGGTATAAGTACTACCAGCGTGGAATTAGTGCCAATCTCTCAATAAAAAAGAAAGAAGAAGGAATATATTATCATCTCATGTGAAAGTTAAACTGTCATTTTGGGCTATGTTTTCTGTAATACAGTACGTACTTTATACGGTAAGGTTTTGTCAAAAAAATTATGTAACTTGGCTTAAGAGCTTTATGCTTAAAAGTAACTTGATATCCTTAGCTTCTTTCAAACAAAACACTTTTACTGCCATTATAGCAATTTAAGGTCATTTGACTAAGTTTGCTGTTTACTATGCTCTCTATCTAGGCAGTGGATTTTAGTGCTTGCCAGCGGTAATTAACGCCTTGACAGAGGAATGGGGTCGACAGGGAACAAGTGGCAACATCGAGGTTGAGAGTCTTTAACAGTAACATTGACAGAGTATACCTATTATTATTATACATCATTATTTGACAGACGTTTCCACATTTCGTTACACGACAATATTTATTTTATATTTTGGTTGTCACCAATTACACCCAAACCCAAATATCATTACTAAATATGTTTTTAAGAATAAGCAATAAAAAAATTTAAAATTATAATTATTATAATTAATAGTTTACAGGCCAATTTTGGACATTTCAGGCCTTTCAAAGGTTAAGGCAGCATCTGTTCCCAGTTTTGGAAGCGGTCAAACTTGATCAAAAATTACTTTTAAGAGTTTGCCTTCGTTTTCAATATACATTCTTACAATTATTATTTTTTGGCGGCCTTTTAGGAAGAAGTACGTTCTTTTCTTAAAGCTTTGAAGGTCGTATCGGAAATTCAAGAATTCAGATAACTATACCTCGTATTGTTATGGACAAATTTTTATTTGCATGCTTAGGATGCTGGATCGAATAAATACTAAAAACAATCTCACCATAGAAGTTTCATCAATAGAATCTAGTCCCATGACTGTGACGTGAAAGTCCACGATTGTCGGCTGGTCGTTCACTTTCGGAGGTCTCATCTTGTCGTACATACGGGGGTCTTCAGGCAACAGATCTTGTAGAGTCAGATGTGTGGATCTGGGCAACAACATAATTAAGATGAAGTTTAAAAAAATGTTTAGGTATTTGAAACCGCTGATCGGATTTCAATAATTCTTTGTACATATTCAATAGAGTGGTAACTGAACTGCTAGTATACATATCATATAATTACAATAATATTTTACGACATCTGATACACAACGCCATCTAGTTTCAAACTAAGCAGAGCTTGTACTATAAAAGCTAGATTGACTAATAGAATACTTTTATACTTTTTTTGTAAATACATACATATATAGAAAACACACAACCTCCGAAACAAATATTTGCAGATCATAAAAACATTTAGTCCGACTCGGGACTGGAACCCCAAACCTCAGTATAGCAGTCGCATACGCTACCAGTGCACCACCTAGGCAGTCAAAGTATCCATACCTTACAAAGGAAGTATTTTAGAAACAATTCACATAAAACCACCTCCATTAAGATAAAAATACATACATAATAGCGTCTTTTATCCACAAAGGGGGTACCTCCCGGTATACAGGGAGTTACCCCCGTCTTAACCACATTTTGCCGATCGTGAATTTTAATCCCCTCTATATAATAGGAAAGCAATTCTAGTGTAAAACAACAAAATAGTGACCAATGACAAAAGGATCGACTCAAATACCAAAAATATCAGCTACCGGCCAGTCCGTAGGTTTCCTGTTCTGTCGAGTGATTTATATTTGTGAGAAATTTAAAAAATAATAGTAATTAGACTTCGTCAAATCCTGATGTTCAAGATAACTAAAAAATAAAAAAACCAGATTGTCAAACTAGGTATCGATTACGGAACCTATCATGCAAATCAAGTTAAAAATAAACGTTCATTAAAAATTTGAATAAAAATAAACAAATACATATTTATTTCGTATATTGTTACAATTTTGTGCCATTCGCCAGATGGTTACTGAAAAGTCCACTCATAACAATTGCACACAAGAGTTACGGTCCTTTTCAATACAAAAACCCGGAACAAGAATTAGAATATTTACAAAAGCTGTTAGACATCTGGTTATTTTTTCAAATAACCACAAAAATATCTCTAATTTAAAGAAGATAAAGAACTTCCGGATCAGTTTTGGATAATGGCTTTGAGTTAGCTACTGTTTCAAACGTTGATAAGGTAGTTTTTAATTTAAAAAATCAGAACAGTTGTTAATTTTTTTAGTTCGTCGGTGTAGTTAATTTTGTGAGTGTGAGAATAGTCCTAAGCACGTACAGTTACCTAGTTACATATAACGCCTACCGTAGCTCTATAGCACTTAATCGTAACCTATTATGATATGAATTTAATGAATAGAATTAGTGAGTTCAGATCTCACGAAGGTTTTGTTTTGTAAACTTTAGTGCAGTAGGTATTAGACGGAGTAAGACAAGCCCGAATGGGAAATCACGGCATGTAAGACTGATGTTAATCAGTAGTAAGAAGGAAAGAAAATATTTTTTCTGACATTCACAGGACAACACTTAGTTATTATAATGACATAAAAAACAAAGACAAAAAAAAACAAAGTAATTGCAAGGCCTATGCAATGCTAGATAAGGCGCCTGTTTTAGCATATTGATGCAGCCTTAGGGACTGCAGCACTGGTATTATAACGGGGCCCGCGCCTGGTGACATCACGCATCAAAACAATCAAAGTCTGTGTGCAGCGTAGCATAGACATACTATAAGACAACGTTATAGAATAATACAGAATATGCATACGAAAATAAATAATACCGCCAGCTAGCGGCAGATTAAATGCTGGCATATTCAATCTGTGCGGCCCTGTTACCAGCCGTATTACACTTGATAAAAACGATCGGTTACTATCAGGTGGCTAGTGTGCAGAGCGGAACCCTTATAGGATGACTTTGTTGTCCGACCGTCTGTCTGTCTCGGAAAAGCGTGGAGGTATCGAGGTGAAATTGAAGCAATATATTCAGGTATACAGTCCCTTGAAGTTGTGAAATAATGAAACTTTTAAGTAACATAAAAAATGTACGGCCGCTTATGCCGCGAAACGCATATTTCGACACTCTGAAGGGAATCAAAATTCATATTAAATCATAAAAAAAATAGTCTTTACTTAAAGTACATAATCAATCATCGAGGTACAATTTCACTTATAAAACAGAATAGTAAATTATAGGTTTTTTAAACTAAATTTCTGCAAAAGCTCGAAAGAAACTGTTAGACTCGATGCCTGAACTATTTATATTATAATACGAGTATGTACCTACAAATTTGTACGGAACCCTCGCGAGGAGGACTTTACTAACATATATGAAACTGTCACAAAGAACATCCAGACTAAAAACAACAATTTGTAATTCACACATAGTGTTGTCCCATGATGGGATCGAACCCACAGTACTCAGCGCGGTAGGAAGCGGCGAGGTGACTGTTTAAACCACTACGAAATCCGTGCTGTTAAAATTACAAATTGCTTTTATTATATTAACTATAAAAAACGTTTTCTTAAATGCCGCTGATGACTTGTTGAGCTTAAAACTCATAGCACACCTAGTATTCATTCGTTTCGTCACCCTATCAAATTTATTCAATTTATTTTTTACTTAATGATGAGGAAATGCTTAGTTCGCGAACTCCTTCATGCTTGTTTTGTTAAGAATAAAATGGACAAGAGGGAAAGCTTTCAACAATGAACATGGACAATGAAAGCTGGAATTATTATTATAGAAATATTTGTTGTGTATACCGTTTTGTACTTATTCATCCGAATAGGAGCCTGTTCTGCGAACGAAAATATACGTATGGAACTATAATTTGGGTTCGTTTTATTTTTAAACGACAAAAAAATGAAAGAGGTTCTTTCTTATGTTCATCATCATCATCATTAACAGCCTTTAAAAGTTCATTGCTGGACATAGGCCTCTCCTTAGAAAGGAGGTTTTGGCCTACCGTGCCACGCTGTCTGTTTTAAGATTTCCTTCTCTTTGCGGTGCTGTTGTATATAAAAATGAATTGCTGTTGGTTAGTCTTACTAAAACTCGGGAATAGCTAGACCGATTTGGCTTATTTTAGTCTTAAGGTAATTGTGCAAGTCCAGAGAAAGTTTGAACGGTTAAAAAATATGGAAAAAATGCAAGGAAAATAGTAAAATCAATATTTTTATTTTCCCATACAAAATGTTCCTTGATGTCAAACACTTGATGCTGTCGGTACGTTAAACTCCGATCTCTTCGAATTAGACAAAATTGTTAAATAAAGATTTCGACTCGACAACGTAATATACACATTATTATTATAATGGTGTATTTAGATTAAAAAAAAGCGAATTAAAAGTGTCAAAGGATCGACATATTTGTTGGTTGTATAATATTTATCGGTGCATTCAGAAATTAATGTTTTAAGTTTGTGATTAAACTTACTAGCAGATATACAGCTACATAAAAAACAATTTGACTGCACGGATGGCGGAGTGGTTTAAGCGGTCGCCACGCCGCTTCCTACTACGCCGAGTGTTGTGGGTTCAAACCCCACATGGGACGTCACTTTGTGTGATCCACAAATTGTTGTTCTGAGTCTGGGTGTTCTTTGTGTCCGTTTCATGTATGTTTGTAAAGTCCCCCGCGACACAGGATATATATTCCTAATGCGGGAGTTGTCTTTTTTTAAAAAAAAAAAAAAAAAAAAAAAAATTGCCGTAATCTATACTAATAAAATAAAGCTGAAGACTTTGTTTGTTTGGTTGAACGTGCTCATCTCAGGAACTACTAATGGTTCAAATTGCAAAATTATTTTAGTTTTGGATAGCCCACTTATCAAAGAAGGCCATATAACATCACAAGTAGAAACCAAACATCAATAAAAAATGTTGTAAAAACGGGGAAAATTAAGTCTTTTGAATTTGCCTTTTTAGAGAGGCAGATGAATTTGCGCGGATCAGCTGGTATAATAATAATAATAATTTAAATCGTGCAATTGCGGACTGCCCAAGACCGGGATAATTAGCGCTCCTTGGGGGCCTTCGTGCAACAGTGGACGGCGATGATGATGAAAGAAATAATGGAGAATTGTACTTTATTAAGTAAAAGTAAAATAACTACCTGCAACATTAAGTGATTGTACTTACTGAGCATAACACAGATCCGTAGCTCCGAGCCATAGGCGAAGAAGAACGATCGTCAGCCATAAAAGTTTTTCTGCAGCCATGGTGGATTTGAAAGTTACGTGTAATTTTTTATTACTGTTTCAAAAATTGATATTTTTCAAAGACATATGCATTTCATTTTGAAAAATATGTATTTTTTCGAAAAGAATAGTCGATTCGACATTTAATTTATGTTAAATATATTTATAATAATACACCATTGCGAAAACAATTACTTTTTTAAATTAGATCACCGAAAAGTTTTTTTTTTTTCACTACGTAGTTGCGGAATTTGGCAAAGGTATCTCAGAAACCGCGGCAAACGTAATGACGGGACGCGGGAAAAATAACGATATGACCACCGATGTCTTTTAAACTTTGTGACATGCGCAATGACAAAGAACTTAGACAGTAGGTACATTAAACGGAATGGTGCATTCCATTCACATATTTTATTTGTTTATCTTCAATACGTAAACTATTATAAGCATAATATGTATGTAGGTACCTTTGTTTCGTTCAGTGGTAGAAAATAGGTAATTACTCCAATTTCTGTTAATAATAAACTTAGATATAAGCTGTTTTAATGATCATGAAATCTGAAAAAAGCTTTTAACGATTTAGTTTTTAAAACTAGGCTCGATTTGGAAGCTCAGGTGTTTAAAACATAAATACTTTAAAATGCTTGCCGTAAATATACAAAGGCGTTAGAAAAGAAAGTTTTAGAAAAGAAAATAACATAATATAAGGCATAAATAACATAAGGCACAAGCACTCCATAACTATGTTATTAAATTACCTTTGATTAAGAGGGAAGTGGTACTGGTTTATGTCTCAGTATTTGTAAGAGTATACAAGGGAAACTACCGTCGTGATTATATAAAGTTAAGTTATGTTTCCCACCGCGTCTATCACGATATACCTACTCCAAAGTACTGAACGTATTTATAATAACGAAGATAATAATAATAATTCAATTTTTTTTTAAGTATGACAACGGTTGTTAACGATTTTGGAACAAATTGTATATGTATGTATAAGTTTATATATGTAGTAAACTGTGTATATTTTCATTGTATATATATTATTTTCATATCGTATGTACCTTACGAGATTTCTTAACATTAAGCCCGTCGATGTACAAAGGTGATAGAAGAAATAAAGAAGCTTAAAACGCACGGCCGTCTAATCGCAAACAAGGCATAGCCTGTACTATGGTAACCAGACTGCTGATAAACATACTTATATATTTCTAAATACATACATATTATAAATGGACTTATGTACTTCACACAGAACAAATGACTGTCTGTCATCACACAATTATTTGTCCTAGGTGGGAATCGAACCCACTTACTCGGGCTGAAAAACGTGTGGTGACGATTTAAGAATACGGAATGTTAGCACCTAACTAAGGGAGCAAACTACGCAGAACAACAGAACTGCAAAAAGAAGGGAAACTTGAAACAAACCCTATACCAACCCGTCTGGCTATCGTGGTATTGTTGGCCAAACCCTCCTTTCTAAAGCTGGAAAGTTTCTAAATCTATTGTCGAAGCTCTCCTCTAAACAAAATTACACTTTTTGCGATGCACAGGAGAAAAACACCGGAATCTCCAGAAAAAAAAACAAACACTATATATCGCTGTAACCACTTTAACATAATTTGGCGTAACTGTATAGTCTATGAATTAAATTACTTGTGAATTTTATATTTAGTTAACTAATAAACTAAGAACATACGTACATCATGTTATGTGATTACTTAAGGGTACTAATTAGCATTAAACCTATGTTATTGTTAACCGGTTAAAACAACCTGGTTGACTGTTTCTTTAAAAATATTAAGTATTTCAAAAACGATATTTCGCTGGGTTTCAATTTCGCCTGTACCTATTTCAGGGATGACCGACTAGTATTTTTTTTATGATACAGGGGACAAACAGGCAGGCGGGTCACCTGATGGAAAGTGACTCCCGCCGCCCATGAAAGCCTCCAACTCAGGAGTCACAAACCCGTTGCAGATCCTTGAAGTGGGAGTACAGTTTCTTGAAGGTTTCAAGGTCGTCTCGGTTCGGAAATACCACAGTCGATTGTTTATTCCTCAGATTGGTTGTTCGAGGCAAAATGTATCTTGAAAAACGCACAGTGGTGGAGTGCCAATTAACAAAGTGATGGGGATGAAAATAAAGCCGCGTGGAACAAAGGCGGAAAGTTGCAGGCAGTATTATTCCGCAGAAGAATACCTCGGAACACTCTCCATACAAACGATAGAGAATGAATCCAACGGGGACCCTTTTCTTAGGATTGAACCGTCATGCCGATGGGCTGAAAATCGGTTTTCATAGACTTAGGGATTTCAATTTACAAATGCCGGTTTTTTTGCCGGATATCGCTTTTATTAGCTGTTACTATATGCAACTATACAACAATGACACCCGAGTTAATTCTGCACAAAGCCGAAGCAATTAGAATTGTTTTACGAAAAAAAAAAAAGTATGTAAAATCTATTTATCTCTTAACTGGCAAGGAAAACCGAAATATCCTTACACGCGCAGGACTTTACAGACAAACAAGAAACGAAAAGAACATTATCAGAACAAAAATCTGTGGATTACACAGAGTGTTGTCCCATATGGGGTTCGAACCCACAAACTCAACGCAATAGGAAGAAGCGACGTGACCGCTTAAACCACTACACCGACCGTGCCGTGCGTGTTTTAATATTATAGATAGAACTTTTTTTTTAACTTTTTTTAAAGTCATCTCTCGCACTCGGAACAAATCCTGTGTCTCGGGGGACTTTATAAACATACATGAACAGACTCAGAACAACAATTTGTGAATCACACAAAGTGTTGTTCCACGTGGGGATCGAACCCACAGCACTCAGCCCAGTACGAAGCGGCGAGGTAACCGCTTTAACCACTACGCCATCTGCGCAAACAAATTACTGCTATTGCCCAAAAAGTGGCTTGTGTAGTGGCGAATGCTATCAAAAAAGGGTACCTCTTGAGGTACATTGCTACCACAAGAATAGAAATGACAGAAGAGAAGTGTATTCAAAACGGCATAGTATGTAATATATTAAGCGTAATTCATAAATCTTGTATAGTAACGTCGATCGCTAAACATATGTACATATATTATGTATACCTATCATAACTACCACATTTGAGTCCCCATATCGGGCGGTCATGAGTGAGATTATGAAATAAATCAATAAAACTGAAAACAATTGAAGATTTTTCTCAACATCTTTAGGGGTGGAGCCATAAGAGGATGTCGACAGCACTCGAAGGCGGTGCGGTCAAACCGAACACTTTCTATATTTTATTGGAATTATAAGAGCTGTGATACCGTCATTGTTTTAGTTTAATTCTTTTTCTTGTAGGCCTTATGTCAAACTCATCATAGACTTTTTTAGTTATAGTTTCTTATTCAGTGAACAATTTTTGAAATAAAACTTCTTTACGCACGCTTGACTTGGGGATTAATCTGGTGGATGCGTGACGAGAGCGTGACGAAAAGTGTAATCAGGCGAGGCGAACGGAAGTTGAGAGGGAGATATAAGTTAGTGAAGATAGAAAAAGAGACAGTTACGTTTCGTATATTACTGTAGGGGCAAGAGAGCGAAAGGTACGAGCACACATTTTCTTTCTCTCTATCTCTAATAGCCAAGAAGTTTTACTTCAGTCTGTTGGTCCAAAGCACACTCGGTTTTTTTTTTATAATTGTCGAATAATATAATAAATAATTAACCTATTTAATGAAATAAAGATATTGAATATAAATTGATACTCAACTACAAGAGGTTGATAAGGTTTTGAGTTTTGCACAGTCACTGTCACTTTGTGATCAATTGTAACAATTGAATGCGATTAAATGGCATCTGACAATTAAACAACATTAGAATAACTATTGCTATGAATAAAAAATTTCAATACCGACAAGCAATATGAATATCTCAGCAATATACCTTACCTATCTTTGTACAAACATTTTCCATTGTTATTTAACAAAATAATCATATATTTTTTTTTGTATAAAACTTCACCTAATGGGTTCCCGTTGGTCACTTTGAGATTTCAATATCAATCAAGATCAATATTAACAAGTAAAAGTAGAGATAAGAGATAGGGTTAGGGAATAAAGTACATTGTAGTGTCAAGATGTAGCTTATGTAAATATTCATATTTTATACATAATACGATGCGGTGCAGTGAGTCTCGCCATAATGAGCTCTATTCTTTTGATTATTTAGGTACTTTGAGTTAATTGTTCAGTGAATTTTTTGTTACGATAAACCCCTAATATCTGGCACACTGGGCCTCAGGGGAAATCCGTCACTGTTTAACTATTATATTTAAGTCTTTTAACTACAATACTTTTTTATTGAATCTTATAAACATTAGATATAATAGAGAGTTGTTTTGCTACTGGTAGTGATGATCATATATTTGATTTGATGATTACGTAACTATTTAACTATTTAACTTTTAAACAAGTTAGTAAGACTTTAATGCGCCTACAACATCATGAAGTAATAAATTATTTACTTCATGCCTTAATTTAGTTCCGTCTTTAAAGTTGTTTTTTTTTATTCGAACCTTTAAATTTAAATGAGACAAAACAGAAAGTATGTCCCTAGTAGTATGTCCCTACTAGTAAGTCCCTAAACAAAATTGAACATTTCAAATCGGTTTATAAATGACGTAATTCAGACGGAGTTCGGATTTTTCGGTCTGTTAAAAATTAAAATCTAGCCGTGTGGGTCAATGTTTAGTATTCCATAGAGATTTCTTCAAGTAACAAATTTTTAAACAATAAATACGTTCAATTTTTTTCTAGTTTTCATCTTGATTTGTTGGATCGATGTTATCTGAACCAAACATTTTTTATCATGTTTCACAGTAAATCACAGGTAGAAATAAGTTTTTCTTTACGGTGGTATTAACAGCTCTACTTAATATTTGTTTGAAGTAGTGCTACGTGTTTAAGACGCTGAAGTTTCCCCAGACCAAAGCCAATAATAGGCTTGGAACTGCAACGTCGATGCTCCCAGGAAAATACTGTTCCCGCAACCACTTGACCGATACTTGCCAGTTCAAACGGGTTTAGGGTAAGTATGTTAAGTTACATATGTACTTATTCAAAAAACTTGTCAGTCATAAGAACTACCTACATTCTGAGGAGTATGTAAGTGATTTTTTTTTTTAATTTTTTTTATAATTTTTTATATTAGTCTGCACGAATGGCGTAGTGTTTTAAGCGGTCACCACGCCGCGTCCTATTACGCCAAGTGTTGTGGGTTAAAACCCCACATGGGACGACACTTTGTGTGATCCAAAAATTGTTGTTCTGAGTCTAGGTGTTCTTTGTGTCCGTTTCATGTATGTTTGTAAAGCACCCCGCGACACAGGATATATTCCTAATGCGGACGTTGTCTTTGATATATATATAAAGCAAATAGAAAGGTATAACTCTGCCAGCTCAACCGGAGTGATGCCACGACCTCACAGAAAATCGGTACCGGTACCGGAGCCCTCCTTCCACTTTCAGATCAATTGAACTCCAAGGGGGGTGGAGGAGTAGGGCACTTGCGTTGTCTCTTGCGTTACGGGTGTCCTAGGGCGGCGGTGGTTACCTACTTACCTACAGGTGACGCATCTGCTAGTTGGCCTCCTATGCCATAAAAAAAATTACAGTAATAAAACCAGAAATACCAGAAAGAAGAGGATAAAATTATAGACACATGTTCCTAAATATTACACGTGCGTTCAGTTTATTCGCGACATAAATATAATATAACGAAGCTAAAGTACCATACATAACAATATTATATCCAAAATCAGACTCGGGTATTTTTGTATTTATTTTGATTGATTTCTTTTGTTTTATCCGTTAATTTCTTGTTTAACTGGTAAGTAATTGCCATATGTTGTGATACATAAAAAATCCATACTACCCTATATTGTCGTTGCATTTTACTGAGTGCTGTGTTGATCTAGTAACCACTACTAGATCAACACAGCACAGTCATCTAATCTAATAGTGATCATGACTGCTAAGCTAGTAAGCCAAGTGGGTTCGATTCCCACTCAGGAAAAAATAATTGTGTATGATGAATAGGAACATTCGTTATTTGTCTATATATTTTATATATCTATATATATAATTATATATATATAATTTTTATATTCTATCCAGAATGTAAAAAAAACTGCTTTATTTTGGCAACATAACTTTTAAATTAAACCACAAAAATAACTCAATGCTAAAACAACATAAATATCAAAACAGATAAAATCGACTTAGGACGTAGTAATATCTTACAAATTTATCAAGCCTTCTATCTATCCATATTATTATTTTTTGACATTTTTTATTCTAATGAGAGAAAGGTAACGTAAAAGTTGACGCCAGATACAAATTGAATTAAGTACCGACGTTTTCATCGCTCTCCGTCAAAAAGTTCCCGTAGGAATTCTATTTAAAAACACAATTGGAAATGTTCTAGAATTATCAATCCCACCAAAAACATTTTCATGTAAAATGTTGCCAAGACGATACCATATATGGCTCGGCTCGTTTTGTCAAAAAATTATCAGATCTCATGTATAACTAAGCTTCTGACTCTACACGCCCTGCCTCTCAAGCCCCACACCCTAGTCTAAATATGTCGCTTGGTTACTACAAAAAAAAAACTACTGTATAACAGAATAGTAACGAATAGTAAAGAAATTTTTCACCTTGCGCCAGTGTCTTGTGACGACAATGTAATATTTTTTTACCTTACACCCATGTGACAGTAGAGAAACGGTCATGCCATTTAAGGTGTTTCTAAGGTACCTCTACATGAGATCTGAAGGTCAATTATTGTAATAAAAGTTCTGTCACAATTTAGTTCCGATAAACACTCTCTCTCACACTAGTGAGATTGAGTCTCACACCTGTCATAAAAGGTATTTTCGTAGTAAAGTATTAAACATCCAACGTTGACTGTAATGTGATTTTATCGTATTGTAACCGAAAATTGAATCTGTAATCTGCTAGTCTTAGTAATACTTTACTTTTTTACTACGAAAATATCTTTTATGATAGTTGCGAGAATGAGAGTTGATCGGAACTGAATTTTGACCGAACTTTTAAAACAATAATTAACCTTCAGATCTCATGTAGAGGTACCTTAGAAACACCTTAATAAATGACATGGCTTGACCGTTTCTCTACTGTTACATAGGCGTAAGGTAAAAAATTATTTCGCTGTCATCACATGGGCGCAAGGTGAAAAATATATTTACTATTCGTTACTATTCTGTTATACAGTAGTTTTTGTAGTAACCAAGCAACATACTCGTATTTAGACTAAGGGAGTGGGGCTTGAGAGGCAGGGCGTGTAGAGCTAGAAGCTTAGCTCTACATGAGATTTGATATTTTTTTGACAATACGAGCCGAGCCATGTATGGTCTCGTCTTTGCAACATTTTACATGAAAATGTTTTTGTTGGGATTTCACTATTTTGTTCATTTCGTTCATTTTTTCTTTCTTTCTTTCGGTTGTATTTCTTGCACATCAGAGGTGCCTTCTTAGTCCCTAAATCAATTTTCAAACCACTAGCATCAAAATTTGCTGAAGTCTCATGCAAACTTCCATCCCCTGGTTTAAGGGATAAAGTTCCAAGCATTAGATTTTTTTGTTGTTTGTGTTGTAATACTGGCTTACATGCCATGTATTGCTCCGGAAATAGCGCAGACTTGTTGCACAGATTGGTTGTCGTGTCAAAATGTCTTGAAAAGCGTTCAGTAGTGGAGTGCCAATTATCCAAGTGATAGGGATAAAAAAAATTGACGTGTGGAATGATGGCAGAAAGTTGCGGCCGGTATTAGTCCAATCCCTCGGAGTACTCTCCATGACATATTCGATAGAGAATGCAGAGAAGCTAGGTACATCTGTACGTAACGCCAAAGGAACGAGCCGATCGGTGATCTTTTGGCTATCGACGATTCGAGTCGCTCTTCATTGGCTCAGAAGGAGAAGCTACTAGCTTCTTCTGAGATGCCCCCGAATAGAGATGAGAACAATATTCCATATGCAGCTAGAAAGGTTGCACCTTATAGAGTTGGAGGCTGTGGGTCGCAGTGAAATACTGCCTCGATCTGTTCAGCACACTGAGCTTCTTCAAAGCTAATTTAATCTTACCCTCTAATGAACCCTGAAACATGACTTCACTTGATATGTCGATGCCTAGGATACTGATTTTGGCTGAGGCAGTTAGTGAGGTGCTCTCAAACTGAGGTAATACGACGAACGGTAACTTTTTTTTAATACTTAATAAATTCACTATTGACAGCATATCCCAAGAATTTTGTTTATCTGGTATAATCCAAACCAATATTAAGAAGGTTAAAAAGAAGACGAAGCGTTTCGAGAAAAGGTTGGTAGTGCTCTTGCACTTCGCTTGACTCGTCTTGGAGGGGGTACTACCGTGTCCCCAGATTCAATTTTTTTTTTTTTATTTATTGCGTGAAAAAGTAGACATAGTTAAGAAAAGTAGAAATAGTTCAGTAAAATTTTTGAAAACTACTAAACTAAAAAAAAAATTACCTCTTCGTTCTATAACTCTGCCTCTTCATTCATAATATTATGAGTCTATGGGTGTAGTTTCAACTTACAGTTGACATTGACATGTTTGCAGTGATGCCAGTTCCAGGGTTTTCTCCCCATTTGGAGAAAACAAATCTATAAATAGAGTATTTAAGTGGTTAAATTTGTTGGGGGTATTTTTAGTGATTAAAAATTGGTATTTTTAACAAATTTAACAGTTTATACGTTTATCAACAAAACTAAAAAAATCCAGATTGAATGATTCCAGTTTTAATAGACGGTGGTGTGTATATTAACTAAATACATAATACTTGGTCTGGTGGAATAAATACTTGGTCCGTCGTTGAGGAGTTTGGTGTGAATTTAATGATTTTTTAAATTTCTTTAGGGGGTAAGTTTTTAAATAGTTGGCAATACTGCATGTTTGTGAAGTGAACCTTTTCGGTCTGTTATTGCTAATTTAAGAAATCCATACTATTTTTCTTTGAATTACGATACAAGAAGTTTGGAATAATAGTTTAGACGTCACTCTATTTTAAATAGGTGACAATGAATGACTGCATTACATTTAATATTTGTTATAAGGAGGTCAAGTCCGAAATTCCAAAGAATTATTGTTTTAGATGTCTGTGTGATAACAATGAAAGACAAATACAAAAGCACACATTTATTTGTGGCCCTCTCAAGGAACTATTCCAGGTGATTAACCTAATTTCAGTTCATCAACTTGCTCGTCTCATAATTCCTAATTTACTCTTTACTTTCCTAATTTGTACTGTCTTCGCAGATACAGTTGTATTTATTTTGAAAAAAAAAAACAAAATAATTTATATCAGAAATTATTGTTGCCATCAATGTAGTTTATATTATTTTACATCAACAACAAAAAATAGTCCACTGCTATACATAGGCCTCTCCTTAGAAAGGAGGTTTTGACCTACTATACTATGCCGACCAGAGAGGTTGGTATAGGGTTTTTGTCAAATTTTCCTTCTCTTTGCTTTGTTGTTCTGCATAGTTTGCTCCTTTAGCAAGCTCTTACGACACCCACAGGGTGAATAGGGGTGGTGACACTGTATTTTCTTAATCGGTCACCACACAGACATACATCAATAGCTCTACATATTTCATTTACTTCGTGGAAAAAATTAAAAGCCAGTAAAGTTGAAAAAAAAAATGTATATGTTTCAGCAATAGGAAGCTTCCTCCACCCTAACATAGTCACTGGATCTATATCTATCATTAGGAGGTGTGAATAAACAATGATAGAATGATAGAAAACTCTTTAATCACTGCACTATTTTAAATTTTTGATTTTTGACAATTATTATTTAACAACCCAATTTTTATCAATTCACAGATGCAAAGCATATCCCTGTGTTATATATGCAAGAGGATTGCCCAACACACAGAATTATTCATACAGAATGTACAAAGCAATCAGATCTTAATGGAAAAAAAATCTAATGTAAGAAAATATTAATTAAATTATTCTAAACTTAAAAAAAATTATGCAATCTAACATCACAAATATGTAATTTTTATTTTTATAATTATTCATTTTTGTTTTTTTTTAAAGAATACTTATTTATAATTTCAATGTAATAAATTTAAAATCAGATTATTTGTTTTGGTTTCCTTTGTATTCGAATACTTACAAAATGTACACATATGGTTATTGTCGTCACCATAGCGCACCTTTAATAATAAACTGAATTAATTCAAAATTTACGTTTTTCGAGTTTTCAACAAATACCAAATCAACTTCATCAGTAGAACACGAACAATCCAACAGCCGACTCGATGCCATGAAAATGGCAGAGATAAGAGATCGTCGTTTTCTTTTTGACGAACTCGCACGTACATGAATGTCAAACTTTAAATGCGATTTCCCACAATATTGAAATTCTAAGTTAATTCAGTTTATGAATAAAGGTGCGATAGACTCCACCCTAGAAATTTTAATTTTTTATTTCAGGCAACAATGGGTGAAAAATTAACAACAGCGAAACTACAGACACAACCTGTAGTTAGTCTAAAAAAAGTCTTGTGTAATGTTATTGAATTAATAGAGAATGATAGCAATAGTTGTGAAGAGTCCTCTTTTGTGGTGATCAATACAGAAGAGAAAGTAGATGTTAAGGTAAAGATCGAAATGAAAGAAGAAACAGAGTTAAGAGAAAATATAGAAGTTGAGTTTGTAAGTCAAGGTAATGGTAAGTAGTAATTTTAGATGGTTACGTTACTTGATTATTTCTGTTTAAATGGGAATTGACTTAATCACATATTTTATAGGCATCTTAATGAATGATTGATTAACCTGACATGTGAGCCCACTTGCATCGGTTATAGACATACAGGCAGTTCAGCCACCTAGACATTACGCGGCTGACTCTAAATAGCTGTTCCTGGGAAATCTTGAACACAAAACATAACGTTAAATCCCTAGAAAATAATCCATACTTATATTGTTAATGTTGCAGTGAGTTTGTTTATTTGTTAGTTACGCTTTCTTGCTTAAACCACTAAATCGGTTTTAAGAATTATTTCACCAATGGAAAGCTACATCAGCGAGTAACATATTCTAATTTTCAACAACCAACATAATCCTATATTATATGGAAAAGTTTGAATTATTCTAAGAAAAAAATTAAAAGTTGTCATATTACAGAATTTCCTAAGATGTGTATGAAAGAAGAGGACAATACCCCTCTGAACACACCGTTCAAAGAAGAACTAAGTCCTGAAAATGACGAGTTAGATTTAAATGTAAATTCAACAATAAAAAAGAAAGTTAAGAAAAAGAACAAGACTAAAAAAGAAGGTGAAGCAAAGTCCAGAAAAGGTATGAATAAATGTTCTTCTGAAAAACTCGGACACTTCATATTGAACATTTTGTTTTAGTTATATGAATAGGATTGTCATCATAGTAATACAAGTTACAGAAATACCTGAAGTAAAAATGGTTTACATTACAAGAAAGCAGTGTATGGAGGAGCGAACTAGGATGTCAGAAGATCAGAAGTATATAGCTTACATGTACAAATGTACCGATTGCATCAAGGGCTTCACTTTCAAAGGAAGCTATGACACACATATGGAGAAGCATAATCGAGTAGGTTCAACCTTAATCCTGTATGTATTTAATAAATTTAAAAATGCTGAGCTCGCTGGGTTACTCTTCTGTTCTCTTTGATGATTTCCATGTTTATCTCACTGTAAATGAAACTGAACTGCCTTACCGGCAAAGACGTGCCTATATTTATACTATTCAATAGACCGCTAGAAAACTTCATAAATGTATCTAGTAAATTCTCAAAAGAACTGTTTCTAAGAGCCGTTTTAAATGTAGATAACAAAGTTTCGAAATGTTTTCTCTAGAAGACATTTTTTAACGGGTAGCTTCTGTTCCCTAAAAAGTTAATAAAATTTTCAAGTTGCAGGTTGCTATTTAAATAGTATTTAATTTTTAAACATTATTTTTATCATATGATTTTTCAAATGTTACAGAGCAATGGTGATTTCGAGTGTGACATTTGCAAACAGAGAATGGATTCAGATGATAAACTAGTCAGACATATGAGATATCATTTAATGTGAGTTCCTTGCACAAAATCTACAATTAGAGCTACTTGGCTAGGCAAAAGTTTCGCCACCTACAAAATTCAAAGCATTAAGCAAAGCAAAATTAAGAAATTGACATTAATTTATTTCTTGGAGTTTACTACTTAAGAATCAATTTTCATAAAAGACGCACGGTATGAAAAAATATTAAGAGTAAAATTTTGTGATCGAATGACCTCTTTAGGTTTTTTGTGCGCACCTTTCACTTTTTAGTAATGTGTATTGTATAATTTGTATACTTGTGTGCCGAATCGTTTTTAAGGGGTAAACTCCAGTCGTGACACTGACGATACAAAACCCACTTGAAAATTGAATTCAATAGTGTATTGCTTTTTTTGTCATGGTTATCGGCTATAAATGTACTTTCTTACTGATTTTTAATTGTATTCATTACATAAGATTATTTATTTGCAGTCGGTACATATGTTCAGCATGCGGTTTAACACGAAACTGCCGAATATCAATCAAAGACCACTACTCAGCGTACCACCTTGGAGGTGATCACCAGTATAATTGCTCACAGTGTGTAAAGACGTTTAAGTGAGTTTTCCAACCATTACAAAATACCTATTTTCCCTTTGCGTGCATGGATTTTCTCGTCAGTTATTACTAACTTTTACCCGCGGATACGCTCGTCTAAGAGTAGTATTTCAATCACTCTTTTATGAACGGTTTTTTTTTTAATTTTCCATAAAATATTCTTCGCTTCATCTCTGGCAAAAGATAAACATATACATATAAGTAATAACAACCTTCAAACACCTACCAAAAGCAAACAATTTTTAACAAAAAAATAATGCTTTTGGGTGTAAACTTAACATTTTATCTTTAATAATCTAAATACTTTCCTAAATCAGTTGAGATAAATGTGTACCCCAGAATCGCGTACACCATACGTGAGGTAACTAAGTGTTTTTTTCCACAGTCGCCAGGCATCGCTACGCAAGCACGTGCTGTGCGTGCACGCGCGCGGCGAGCGCGTGCAGTGCGCGTACTGCGCGGGCTCGTACGCCGACAAGGACGTGCTCAGATCACATATGATGCTGTGAGTATTATTATATAATATTCCTCACACATCTCACACACGGCCGTCTGATCCCAAACTAGGCAGAGCCTGTATTATGGTAACGAGACTGCTAATAAACATACTTAAATATATATATATATAATTTTAAATATAGGTAAATTACACCCTTTTTTTTCGTTCGGAAATCCCCACTGGATACCACCTATCGGTGGCATGTCGGACTCGAACCGACTAAAACCGCACGCCGTCTCGGGTACTAATAGCCGGGGAATCAGGTATACCCTAGAAAGGAAGTCCCTGGTGCCCCGACATACCTCGGGCCATCTACAACAAGTAGACGACCCCCCCCGTGTGGGAACCCCATGTTCCCTCTGCTCCCTGGAAGCGAGCGCGCTTCGCAATGCGCTCGCCGCCAAGGTAAATTACACCCGGACACAGAACAAATGACCGTGCTCATCATACAATATTTGTCCTGGGTAGGAATCGAACCCTTACGGCTTATTTCTATAAACTATTGAATTCCCTAAATATTGGTAACCGTTATGATTGTACCTGGAACAGCCAACTGTCAACTAACCCTCTTAAATAATTAATAATTGCATTTTTCAGGCGAACCGCTAGCCACTAACGGTATAACTAATGATAAAAAGGTCTTTCAAATATGTTTTATTAGATAGTGAACAGTTTTATCACCGAATAGTTTCACCCCCTTAATCAAAATTTCTAACACTATCTCACTCCCACAGGAAACATTCTAAGGAGGTGTCCGCAGTAGAAGTTCGTAAGAGATGTGTGTGTGCCGAATGTGGGAAGGCATTCAAAACTCCGTCTCAACTCCGCAAACATAGCATCAAACACAGCGACGTACGCAAATATTACTGCGTGGAATGTGACAAGTATTTTTTTTTTGGTTTCCGTTCGTCAAAAAGATAATAAAGAACCCTTATCACTTAATGAGATGACACTTAACGAAAAGTCCTCTGTTCATTCAAGTAGAAATTAACATCAAACATTTTAATTCTTGTGGAATCAAAAACTATTAGTTCATGAAAAACGTTCACATATACGTATCCGTATATGTGTAGTCAAATTAGGTTTTTTTTTATAACCTCAGACATCTCACCCACGACCGTTTGATCCATAACTAGGCAGAGCCTGTACTATGGTAACCAGACTGCTGATAAATATACTACATATTATAGATAAATTACACCCAGACACAGAACAAACGTTCGTGCTCATCACACAATTATTTGTCCTGGGTGGGAATCGAACCCACGACCTCTGGCTGTCACATATACAAAAATTAATAAAGTGGGAGAGCCATACCGCCGTACAGAAATATTCTTTCATTGTTTTTCAACGAGATAGTCAGGTTACCTGAGCACAATCGTCCGTACCCCTGATTCTGTGGGAAGGCATCAACGCATTTGTGACTCAAGAGTGTCCACGTGCCGCGGTAGTCGCTTACCATCAGATGACCTGCTCTTTTGATACGATAGAAACGTTAGGTGTAGTAACACCTATACACATAACTGACTGTTCGGATGGCGTAGTGGTTGAAGCGGTCGCCACGCCGCTTACTACTCCGCTGAGTGTTGTGGGTTCGATTCCCACATGGGACGACACTTTGTGTGATCAACAAATTGTTGTTCTGAGTCCGGGTGTTCTTTGTGTCCGTTTCATTTATGTTTGTAAAGTCCTTTGCGTCACAGGATATATTACTAATGCGGGAACAGTCATTAAAAAAAAAAAATTGCGCACCTTTGAAACCTAGTCGTAATTCTGTTTCAAGTTAAATATTCAAAAAAATTGTTTGATTTTAGGAGCTTTAAATCAGAATGTATATTGAAGGCCCATTTGAAGACTGCCGCCATCCACGTTAAGCATGAAGAATTGCCGTAAGTACAAACACAAATAAAACTTCATGGTTAGCTTAAAGCCCATAATCTCATAAACACTTGCATCCATCATCATCATCAGCATTTAATAGTCCACTACTGGATATAGGTTACTCCTTAGAAAGTAGGGTTTCACTTAGTATACCCCGCTGGCCAGGTGAGGTGGTAAAGGGTTTGTTCAAGGTTTTCCTTCTCTTTGCGGTGCTGTTGTCCTGCGTAGTTTGCTCCCTGAGGCGGCTCTGACACCCAATCAATGAATGATGCAAGGGGTGATGACACTCTGTATTCTTAATCCGTCATCACACGGATAACACTTAAATACAATTTAATAAAAAAATACTAGATGGCGTTAGTAGTTTTACTTACTCACGTTTACAAAAGTCGCTCGCTATTTCCGATATTTTTTCCCTTGGTAATGCAAAGCAATTATTTGTGCTCTAGTAAACATTTTGGTGAAGTCTCTGTATTCGTTTGGTAATGTTCATGCATTTCTGCAGCGCAACTAGTACACAGTACCTTTAACAAAAAATAAAACCACCACTGTGTAAATCTGCATTGGTTGAGCTAATCAGAAATTACACAGCTTTTAGAGCTGCTGAAGAACTCAGGACAACTATTTGCTTAATGGGAAGACATCCATTTGTTAACCCACAGAAACAGCGCATAGTAATCACTACCCTCAATGCGCTTTCTTCAAACTTTGCTTCTTAGTGGATTTCAAAGCGAAATCTAATTTATATATTTCATCAACAGCCTATAACAGTCCACTACTGGACATAAGCCTCTCCTTAGAAAGGAGGGTATGGCCTACTATACCACGTTGGCCAGACGGGTTGGCATAGGGTTTGTTTCAACTTTTCCTTCTCTTTGCAGTGCTATTGTCCTGCGTAGTTTGTTCCCTTAGTCGGCTCATACGACACCCACGGGATGAACAGGGGTGGTGACATTCCGTATTCTTAATCCGTCACCACACGGACAATGTTATATATTTAGTGAGAATATTAATTATAGTGATTATAATGACCATCTAAAATGACTATACAAATTATTTTACAGCCTGTCCTGTTTACACTGTGAACAACGTTTTTCCGATCGTCGAAATCTCCAACGGCACATGAATCGAGTTCATCTTAATGTTAAACCTTACAAATGTGACAGATGTGATAAGGTAATTATTTGTATTAGCATTCATCAATAAGTTTTTAAATAAGTTGAACCGACTTCAAACAATACCAACAAAGAGCACTAGAAACCTAGCAGCAATGGCGGTTAATTTGCTGTCATTGTTTGAAGAGTTCCATTGTCTGTCTCCGAAACTCATCATCAGATCTATATGAAATTTAAATGGGACCATTTCGGAATAAACCCCTTTCGAACAAAAAAAATATTTTGCAAATCCGTCTATATAATGACGGATTTATGCCCGAACATAGATAAAACCTCCGAATTATTAGCCATTACTTTTTGAAGTCGGTTAAAAACAGTCGTCAATCATACAGTGTATGCCTTTGACTGCCTGTTGGTTTAATGGTTAGTGATCCGGACTGCTAAGCCAAAGGTTGTGAGTTCGATTCTCACCCAGGACAAATGATTGTGTGATATATATATATATATATATATTATATATTTTTACCACATTTACACAACGCCATCTAGTCCTAAACTAAGCAAAGCTTGTACTATGGGTACTAGACTACTGATATAAATACACATATACTTTTTTTTGTAAATACATACATATAATACATACAAACACCCAGACCAAATCAAACATTAAATGTTCATGCACACAAATGTTTGACTTGAGCGGGAATCGAACCCGCGAACTTTGGAATAGCAGTCCGTTACACAAACCACTATGCCATGCGGTCGTCAAATAAACATCGTGATAAACGTGGGTGTAATTTATGGCTGCCTCGGCGGCGCAGTGGTAGTTTATGCGACTGCTGTGCTGAGGTCTCGGGTTCGATTTCCGGGTCGATATATAAGTATTCTATCAGTAAATCTAGCTTTCATAGTACAAGCTCTGCTTAGCTTGGAATCAGGCGGCTATGTAAAAAAAAAGATATGCCTGACACCGCGGCTTTTATTATGCATACTCACATATAAATACAAACACAGAAAAATCAAACTCATTTTTTTTCCACGAAAGTTTCACTGAGGATTGATGATTCAAAAACCTGTCGACTGGTACTCTTCTCTCTTATTGTAATAAAGCATGTTATTTTCAGGCCTACATGAACTCGTGGGGACTAAAGAACCATCAGCGCTACACTCATGAAGGACACAAGAGGCCACTTCAGTTTTCTTGTCCAATGTGTGACAGACTGTTTGATGTTAGTTTTGATATTTATTTAAGTTTCAAACTCTACTGACAGTATCTTATAGACTGTAATAATCTAATACCTTTAAACGAGCAATTTTTGTATATGTATATATATATTTATAATCTGAATCTCGGAAACGGCTCCAACTATTTTAATGAAATTTACTATGGGGGGTAGGGGGTTTAGGGGGCGATTAAAGTTTTAGAAAATTTACCAAATAAAACCGAGTAAAGTTCGGTCATCCAGGTACTTAGACAGAAAACTAGAAATCGAATTTTGTATTAAGTAATTAAAACACAATATAGATAGATGAGGAGGATACAGGAGAGATATATTATTTATCGTACACAAATGAGAAGATGAGAGGGAAGAGAGAAGAAGTGTTTGATTTATCTCTACAGTTTGGTGGTGTGGTGGTGTTTAGGTTCTTCTCCTCGCGTATGTTAGGATTAGCATTCACCCAAAAAAACATCGATTTTATAAATAAGATTGAGTAGACTACATTAATAAAATATTGAATTCTATTACAGCGTAAAGAGATCCTCAAAAGCCATATACGTACGCACACTGGAGAGCGTCCGTACCAGTGCAGCAAATGTCCAGCGCAGTTCAGTCAGTCCAACGTCCTACGAACACACGATCGACTCATACATCTCAAACTGACCAGGGATGGTAAACTCAAGAGTGGGACTATAAAATAGTGGATGTTATGGAAGCAGTTCAGTCAAACAGAATTAGAAAAAAAAATAGTCTTCAAACTCTTAAAAAGCTTGCTAAATCCTTTATTGCGCAACCATGTGATAATTGCGATCAATGCCATCTATTGAAGATACGTTGAACTTTTTCGGATTAAGTGAACCGGATGAAGTTTGGATAACCAAGTATAAATTACACTCTGTTTGACCATCTGTTTCTTTTTGGTATAAGAACACTAGATTTTTTTTCTCTTTTGTGATATTCACTCTTGAAAAAGCCGTTTCTTTAGATTTAGACATGGTGCTAATAATGATGTACTGGAGAGTGATGGTGGCGCTAACTAAAGAGAGAGAGTTTAAGAAAAGAGATTCTAGGTGATTCAGAAAGATGCGTGCGTCCAAGTCGTCACTGAGGAAAACGTTACGGTCACCAGAGTTACAAGTGAGGCAAATCAGACCATTTATACCCTCAACACAGTGGTAGCAGGCCTCTTGCCAGTGGAGCTGCTGTGGTGATGGCATTACTCCTCTTTCTGCATATCTTGTAACGGTGTTTGAGGCAGCCCTGGCCCTATGGGGACATCATCCTCAATTTGTCCTCATCCCAAACGAGTGGCTCACCACCCTACTCATGATGAACCGTTCCGTAGGGAGTTATCCTACTGTGCTACTTCCCCAATTTACCTTCCCCAATTTATCCTTATTACCGACCACTCCCTTTTAGACATATCTTGTCCTAATCACATAGACCATGTTCAGCTAATCAAAATCCTGGGAGTAATCCTTTGAATCTCCTTCCACAGCCAGAAAACCTCATTAGGTGAAAGCTAAAAGAACGGCACCCTCACATAATAAAAAATAGAAATATGATACAAATGTTTAGGACCCAGGCGGATGAGGAGGAGGCACGCTTGAAAAGGGACTTGCTCTCCATCCAACCCGTCAACCCGAAACTCCTCTGTAAGCTGTAGCAACTTTCCAATCGGGGTTAAATAAAAAGTTGTAGGGCAGTTTATCACCGGCCGATTTATCCAGGCAGCCTCCTTGGACACCTAGGGGGTGAGAAGTCTATCTTTCCATCATCTCTGCTCTGGAAGAGAGGACAGCAAACTATATAAAAAATAAATCGAGTCCTTTCACTCACAAAATTAAGACCGCTCGCTGCATCAATCACTTAACACAGCTGCTGAGGCCTCTAGTAGGGCCTTAAATTAGAGGGCATCACCATGCCTACCCCCGACTCCCTGAAACAACCTCTTTGAACATCAACTTTTCCAGACCCGGAAAATATTCTCTTCACAGCTGCGAGCCACGGTCTTGAAGTAGATATTTAGACAAGTTGTCATTCGGGATTTCCATATTGGCAGTTATTGACATAAATTTATTTTAGTATTATACAAAATAGATATATTCTACGTGAATTGTTTAACTTAAATATATGTGATAGTTATAAAATGTGTTTTATTTAGTAAAGAGTTCGTTTGTTGTTGATGATTCATGCCGGATCAGCAAGCTGAAGTTGCATTGTCTCTGTAAACGAAGTGTAGGACGCCCACAGGCCAGGTGGAGTGACGATTTGCGTAAGAAGGCTGGCAGGAGCTGCATGCGAGAAGCTGAAAATCGATCGAAGTGGCGTGCAATAGAAGAGGCCTATGCCCAGCAGTGGACTGCGATAGGCTGATGACGATGATGAGTAATCGAGTCACGAGTGATCGTTCAACTATCATCAAGCGGCTTTTTATAACAAATCCCTTACCCCAGTACCGTAAATTCTGACCTATTATTCCCACATTTAGATTTAAATAAATTTTAAAGCTTCCTCAACCAACAGGTGTGAAATTCAAGTCTTAATACTACGTTTGAAGTTAATTTTCGATAAATTTGGTCGATAAGACAAAGAAGCACTAGGACGATGAAATTTAAACAATTAAAACAGGTTAAATGAAGTCTGAAGTCAATGTATTTTAGTAGGTATATTTCGCGGGAAATAAACTCAAATTTTATAATAATATGAAATATGTTATCAAGTAGGTCAAAATGTAATGCAGCTTTATGAAACGATAATTTATTAGAACCTGATTGGTCAGATAGCGGAGCTTCATCGACCACTATTTTCTAAGTGCGAATTGGCCTACAGCCAGGATAGGTAGTTCGTAATTTTAAAATGTAACGTATTGTTAAAGAAGAATATAAAAGCAATATTACACCGGATGCCGCCATAAGCAGCGATTCACAACATAAGCAGCGATATTTTGCCGGTCTTCGTATTTGCGTTAATACGGTAGCAGCACAGTGAAAACTATGTTACTTTATTTTTGTGTTGTTTCATTTGTTACTGTTTTAAACGTGAAAAACACTCGGACTTGAAGTCTTTAAATGCTAGTGTTCTGCAAGGCTGTGGGCTATCACCCACACTGTTTGTTCTGCGTATCAACGAAATGTTGCAATTGCTATGCAGGTGATAGAACGGGTGATGCCTTTTATACCGGTCGCCCCAATATTTCTCGGGCAAACGTCATCGAGATTCGAAACAAACTTGTGTCTGAAAAGGTTTCAGATTGGGGTCGACTGAATCTAGTCTATTTTAACCCAAATATACAGGTTTACACGTTCAACTAAAAATACCATTCCGAGAGCATCTCCCTCAACTGCCTCGATCAGTATCGGAATCCTAGGCATTGACATATCCATCGAAGTCCAGTTTTGGGGTAGAAGGTGAGGTAAAATTAGCCTCAAAGAAGCTCAGTGTCCTGAACAGATTGAGGCAGTATTTCACTCCGGCCCACTGCCTCTAACTCTATAAAAATAAGAAATATGTGAAATACTGTTCTCATCTCTATGCAAGGGTATCCCAGCACTAACTTCTCCCTATGGACCGCATCCAACGAAGAGCGACTCGAATCGTCGATAGCCAAAAGATCGATCCGATCGAGATGTGGCTTCATTCTGTATTCTCTATCGTATATATCATGGAGAGCTACATAGGAATTTTTCGGACTAATGCTAGTCGCAACTTTCCGCTATCGTTCCACAGTTCAAAAATTTCATCCCCATGACATGGATTATCCATGATTGGCGCTCCACCACTGTACGCTTTTTCCGTGACCTGTCTGCTCGTTTGCCCACTCTTCCATACAAAAACACTAGCGATATTTTCTAAAGTGAGTGCTACATGAGTGAGTGAGTGAGTGAGTGTTACATAGATTTTTTAGCTTAACTAGGAATCTAGTGTACTAGCTATTCAAATTGTAGTAAGAATTATTTTAACAAAAATCAGATATTTTGTGAGAAATATTAAATATTATAAGCATAATATCATACATTTAAGTTGAGGCCAAATTATAGGTATAACCTATTAATTTCTTCGAAAGTTGAAGTCTTCTTTCTTCTGACATAATGAGAATATGCCAAGCTTTAGATTGACAATTAGACATTTAATTTCTAAACGATTGGTTTCGAACGTCAGTCAGTGTCAGAGTTTTAACTTATGCCAACCACTGTCAAGTTATCGTGTGTTTGGATAGTACGTGTGCCTTGAGAGTTTTCGAATATTAAGTGTTTTTGTGATCATTGGACCAAATCTGTGACTTCTTGTGTATATATATTGTAGTACTAACCGGGATAAGGTATTGTGACGTTTTAATATAATGTATATTGTATTATGAAGACATTCATTAGCAATGGGTAAAGAAAACCCCCTGACCCTCCTGATGATAATTCACCTTCAACTCCTACTTTCTCCTCTCCCCCAATCTTTCCTACCGCTCCTCTTACTTCTGTAAACACATTGACACAGTTTGCAGAAGTGGTTTGCAGTATTCCTGACGTTCAAAACCGGAAACGTCCAGTTGAGGAAGAACCCTCTTCTAGTCGTCCCACTAAGCAATCGAAGAGCCAAGTAGCTCGAGACTATTATACAGCAGAAGATAAAACTTTATTCATTGTGCATGTTTCGCGGATAGAACTACAACCCAATTCGGGCACTACTCTCCACCCAGTGTCATTAGGTATACTCTTATACAAAAACAATATAAGTAATATCATTAAAGACGGAATTAAAAGAGTTGGTCGGAAAAGAGTGTCTATCGAGTTCTCATCCGCCCAAGATGCCAATGTCTTTCTAAACAATCCCATCTTACAAAAAAATTAATTTAATGCCTTCATACCATCCTTTAATATCACACGTATGGGTGTCATTAGTGGGGTGCCAGTTGACTTGACTGAGGAAGAGGCAATAGATTATATATCTGTACCCTCAGGCTGTGGTTGCATCCTAAAAATCAGACGAATAAATCGAAGACAGGGCAATTAAGACATCTATGGTTAAAAAAGCTAAAAAAGCCATATCCTACATAGAAGCAAGTAAACTGATACCTGCTACGTCCCACAACTATGCTAATGCTGCTAGAAGCCAACCCACCGAATCACATCGCAAAATAATTTTGCTTAAACCTAGATCCCACGCTCCTCTTGCACCATCCTATGACAAAACTGCTCAATATAACATCACTAGCACTCCCTTATCCACACAGCCAAATGGCTGTGGCCTTTCTAACACAAATATCCAACCCATTTCCAATCTAATAACACCACCAATTATTGAACTGTTTATTGAAATTGTAAAATCCTTTATGTCCCCTAGTATCCCTAATTCACCGTCCAACTTTGCTGAAAAAATTATTAAACTTTTACTCAATTTTAAAAATGGCTTCACAGCTGAGACTTCTTCAATGGAATGTGAGGAGCGTGTTTCACAAGAAGCATGACCTTACATTCCTCTTAAATAAATATACGCCTTTGCCATTGCTCTATCACAGAGACTTGGCTAAAACCATGTCTTAACTTTAGTGTGCCACACTTTAACACTTTCAGATGCAATAGACAGGATGCTTATGGAGGGTCAGCTCTCCTCATTAATAATAGAGTCTCTCAATCTATCGTTGCCCTGCCTGCTACCACTATTGATGACATAAATATGGTTGCCTGCAAAGTTGAAGGTATCACGCTTTTATCTATTTATATTGCTCATCCTCATAGAAATCTCTTACCTACTCTAAAAGGCATATTTCAGAATATCAATGGCCCAGGGATTATAATGGGTGACTTCAATATTCATCATTATAGGTGGGGCTCTGAATGGTGTAATGCGTTTGGGGAAGGCTTGGTGGAGATCATAGATGACCTTAACTACGTCATACTTAATAATGGCTGTCCTACCCGCCGATCTCTGCCTGGTCAACTCAAAAGCTGTGTGGATCTCACATTCTGTTCAGCTGATTTAGCTACCGCTGTTCAATGGTATTGCTCAGACCTGTCACATGGCAGTGACCACTATCCCATAGTTATTGCAATTGCAGGTAAAACTTTCTTAGAAAAAAGCCCACCCCCTTTATTAAAATTCAACCTAACTAATGCAGACTGGTCTAAGTACACTGATTTACTGGAGGATAGAGTAAACGCTTTTTCAAATTCAGATCTCCAAAGCCCGAGTCTATCTAATCACTGCCATGTACAGAATTGTCTGGAGAATCTCATTGGCGCCATCATCTCATGTGCAGAGCTAACCTTTCCCTTCCCTTCCCTTAAAATACCGTCACCGCCGTGATGGGATCAGGATTGCATTAGAGCTTTCAGGGAGCGGAAGGAGGCAGAGAAGAGATATAACAGAAACATGAACACCCATAACTTACTTACTTACTTAACTACTACTGTCTTATAAACAAGTTCAGGCTAAGTACAAAAGGCTGCTACGACAGAAAAAACGAATAGGGTGGGTCGGGTTTTGCACATCCTTATCTCCATCTACTCCACCATCAATAGTATGGAAAAGTATACATAGGTTTAGATCGGGATGCACTCCCAGAACCTCATCTCCTATGAACCGCGAGACAGCTGAACTGTTTTTTGATAAAATAGCTCCTTCTTATGTACCCTCTATAGAAGAGAGTGAGTGTGTGCCACCCAGCTTTGATTTAGAAACATCTGACTTGTCATTCTCCCCTCAGGAACTAGATATGGTGCTTGATCATTTCCAGGACTCAGCTCCTGGGATTGATGGAATACCATACTCCTTCCTTACCCATTTTGGGAGCAAAGCAAGGGAATATTTCCTTAAAATAATAAACTATTGCTATGAAAACGGTTCAGTCCCCAATCAGTGGAAAGAACAAATAATCATCCCAATTTTAAAGACAGGCAAAAATTCAGATGACCCAAATGGATACAGACCAATCGCTCTATCATCAGTCCTGCTGAAAATCTTCGAGCACCTGCTTAAAAATCGGTTGGAATGGATTGTGGAGTTATTGGGACTAATCCCACCCACACGCCCACCACTGTAACTCCTGTACACCAGGATCCACAGCAGTGACCTACGAATACACCGAGTTATGACACTCGGGAAGTCCCAGGAAGAAATTAAACTGTCTTGGAACCCGCAACGAAATTAATCAGAAGAAAATTGGAGGAGTTGGAAATACAGTAAATCCACTAGTAAAATGGACATACACCCTTTTAAACAGGGAAGCACCACGGCCACAAATATTACGGGTCCTACGTGAGCTATGTTTGATTTCTATAATATGTATGGCAGAATCGCCTAAACGCACGGAAATTCACCCTAGTTGACACAAGATCCCCATAGTATACCGCCCCAGATGTCACCTGCAAGCTATTCAGCATTATATTACGTTCATTATACCAAAGACTACATTCCCAGAGGATATGATGAGCAGACTGTTCATAGTGAGAGTTAGGTGTTGAGCATTGACACAATGGTGACTCGACTAATTTAAATGAATAAAGCTTGCTCTTAAAGTTACCATGACCCGTAAGAAATTGAGCGACACAGTGATCCACCTCAAGCCATATCCTCGACAACCGTTCGCGAACAGATGGAAAGAATTGGTAAAGATGGCGCCCCTTGGATGATTCATCCCAGCGTTGTTGCCATTCGTCTATGAGGTCATTATAGACATCGGGCTGCTGTTGAAGCAATCTTGTAATTTTACCGCGATCCCGCGCGCCCAAAAAATCGCATTCCATGTTTTGTTGTCTTGAATAGTACATGGCTGCACGTCTCTGCACCTCGAGATCGACCGGAAGCACACCCGCCAACACCGGCAAAGCCTCAGTGCTAACCGTCCTATATGCCTTACATAAGAATATCAGTGCAAGTCGTTGGCCTTGTAATAGTTTGCGACGGACAGCGCCTACGGTCGCCCTATTGGCCCATACAGGTGCACCATAGCACATAGAACCTAAATAAGTAGCTCCGTATATGATCCTTAATGTATTAAATGATAGACCCCATGTCGCAGTTGATATCCTTGTCAATGCACAGAAACTCTTTTTAGACTTTTCATTAACTATTTTAATATGTTCGATAAATGAAAAGTTTCTTTCTAAAACTAATCCTAGATAACACACTGTGGTTTTATTTTTACAGTAACATTGTCAAATCTAATGCTCGGCGGTGATTTGAGGTTACCTTTTAAAAGTAGCTGGAAGGTTTTGTTGGGTGCAAAAGTTAAGCGATTACGTTCACCCCATTGAGATATCAAGTTCAAACATCTATTGGCTAATCTCTCAAGCCCCGCCCTAGTATCAGATTCCACCAGTAATAAGCCGTCATCAGCATACGCGTTCAGAGTACATCCGGATGGTATTGGTATCGCAAGAAAATCGTCGAAGCCGATATTTCACAAGTATGGACCTAGCACCGATCCCTGAGGACATCCCATTGTAAGCGCCTTCGACACAGAATGATGACCAAGTCTTAGTTTAGTTGTACCTTGTGAAAAGTACGAAGAGATAAGGGAATAAATATTTTTAAAGCACCCCCGTGATTTTAATTTCAGCAACAGCATGGGCCACCATGCGTTTTCGAAGGCGCCAGATATATCTAAGAAAATAGCCAGCACGTATTGAAATTTTGACCCTGTGACAAACTTTCTAACCGATATAACAGCGTCAGTTGTCGATTTACCCAACGTAAATCCAAATTGTCTATCATGAAATTTGATTGATTGATTGTGGATTGATGGATTGTGGAGTCTAGAAATTTACTTCCAAGCTCCCAATTCGGGTTTAGAAAAGGACTCAGCACTATGGATAGCGTTGCAATACTCACCACGGATATCCGAATATCCAAATATCTGGAATATCCGAACCAATGCATTACTTTACGCTACTACATCCCTATCAATTTCTCTGGAATCTTACCAGTGGTTGCTTGATCATGGACTGAACCTGTCTGCTTCAAAAAGCACAACAGTTGTATTTTCAAGGAAGAGGGTCAATCCCCAAATAGATATAAACATTCAAGGACATAACATCTCTGTGGATACAAAGGCAAAGTTTTTGGGTGTATACTTGGACCATAAAATGACAGGTAATCACCACCTTAACTCCTTGGTCAAAAGGTGCGAACGAGTCATCCCTATTTTGAAAGCTCTGGCTGGTGTGGTGGGGAGCTCACCCATACACCATGAAGCTGATCAATAACGCCCTTATCCGCAGTGTAATGGATTATGTTGTCTTTTTATTAGGCCCCTACAAGAAAGGGGCCCTTACGAGCCTTGATAGGGTTCAGGCCAGGTGTCTTCGGATCATTACTGGGTGCATGAAATCTTCTCCTATAAATGCAATACAAGTTGAATGTGCTGAACCCCCTTTAGAATTAAGAAGGCAATATTTGGCAACGCGTTTTATATTCCGTCTAGTATGCAGAAATACCCATCCCCTTATTCAAAAATTAAAATTTCTAAATTCCCTTATAAACTCCACTCAGTATTGGAGACATAAGGATATACCTTTCATTTTAAAAGCTTTCCACTCCTTTGAAAACATAATGTCCCTTAATCAGTTTGCTCCCCTTGGTTAACTATGAATTAGAGGTATTATGTTTTAAACCAAATATTTTATTTAATATTGGCATATCCAAGGGCAGTCCTAATTCTGAAGCAGCCTTTAATGCCTTGATAAATATAAAATGGCATGATTTCCAGAGATTCTTCACTGACGCCTCAAAATTGTCACAGGAGGATGTCACTGGTGCTGCTGTTTATTATCAAAATTCTTAAATAATATACAGACACATAACATTAATAAGGCTGTAATTTTCACTGACTCTTTGAGCTGTCTCAAGGCCCTAGAACAGAACCCATACAAAAGCAAATTACACAGCTCCCTTATTTTAGAAATAAAGAAACAACTCTTAAAATGTTTCATGAAACAAACAACAGTCCAGTTAGTGTGGATCCCAAGTCACTCTGGCATCAGGGGCAATTAGTTGGTAGATATGCTGGCCAAAAGTGCCATCTCAGCACCATCTGTAGACCTTAAGCACTACTATAATCAAGGCTATGACTTATTAGTACCCAAAAAGATACTGTTGTCTTCATGGCAATCCCAGTTTAATGAGTCCAGCAAGAAGAAAGGCAAATACTACTATGCAGTACAACCAAATATTACTCCAAAGCCTTGGTTTTACCAACACAAAAAAACTGTAATATCTGTAATCTGTCGTCTACGCTTGGGCCATTGTTGCTCCCCAGTGTTTCTACAAAAAATTCGTGTACTAGACTCCTCTCTAAGTGAATGTGGCCTCGACGAGGGGACCCTGGAACATATATTTTTTGATTGCCCCCTTAATAACTCACTCCCCAGTCTGTACAGTAAACTAATAAAATTGAACATCCCCTTCCTATAAACTTTGCTTCCCTTCTGACCCATTCCTCCCGACCACTGCTTGTATGCCTTATGTTGTTCATCAATTATATCAGACTCTGACTTGAATCCTGATAATGTTTTGTCAATAATAGTGTAGTATCTAGCTATCTGTTATTATTATTATCTGTTATTATATATCTGTTTTATATATGTATAATTTGTATCCGTAAGTAGCAGTGTGTTGTATTTATAATATTTGTTTCAGTGTCCTAATTCCATAACAAGATTCGCAAGGAAAACAAAATTTTAACAGGAATACCTGATGTTCATTCTCTTATCACATACATTTCAGCGCACGACTGACATTGGCAGAATTGTCGACATATCGGCATCGTTTGCCATAGAGAAAAATAGAATAGAAGTATTAATTTATTTCTTTATTATTAGTAGTTACTTTTAATGCTTGAATTTGAGTTATTATACTATTATATTGAACTTTGATAAGTTTTGAATGAAGTTGGTAATGACTTTAATGTCCAAATTCTGTAAAAATAATTTATCATTTAGTTATCTTATAAGAAAGTTTTTGTGAATAAAAACATAGTACATTTAAATTTGTTATAATGCTGTGAACAACACTATATTTTAAATACATAACAATGAATGACTGCACTACATTCAGTAATGGTAACAAGGAGGCTAAGTCCGAAACTCCAAAGAACTATTGTTTTGGATGTCTGTGTGATAGCAAGGAAAGACAAATACAAAACTATACATTTGTTTGCGGCCCTCTCAAGGAACTATTTCAGGTAACTAACCTAATTTTAGTTTATCATAGGCCTTTCCCATTTGACGCCACTTAGATCGATTTTCGACTTTTTGCATTCAGATCCTTCCAGCCATCTTACACAGATCATCACACCAACTGCCCTGTGGGTCCAACACTATGTTTAATTTTATGTTTAAGATTAATTATATTTTAATGTTTATAAATTAACAACTACCCAATGAGATGATGCTTGAGCTAATGCTTACAGTTACAGTACCTAATTTCTCTCGTCTTACTTCACTTATTTGACTTGACTTTTGCAATCTCTATGAAAGAAAAAAATGTATATGTTGCAACAAAACCAAGCTCCCTTTTTGCCTAACTCATTTACTTATTCTAAATCTGACATTGATAAATAAAGCTTTATTAAACAGTGATAATTAAAAAAATATTTTTTTACTTAATTTTACAGATTCAGAATGTATTCCTGTGTTATATATGCAAGAGGGTTGCCCAACATACAGAACAATTCATACAGAATGTACAAAGCAATCAGATTTTATTGGAAAACTTTTCTAATGTAAGTATCAAATAATTTTATTTTTGTAATAACTAAAAAAAATGTAATGAAACATTATGGAATATATGTTTTGCTCATTAAGAGTATTAGGCAGCTTATAATATGTAATTCTATTTTCTTTTTATACATTTCTTGTTTTGTGAACATTCTTATTTATGATATTATTACTAACCTAGAGCCATAAAACATAAAAAATTCATTGTCAGACTTTTTACAAATTTTGCTTTTTATAATTTCAAGTTTTGGTGTCAGTGATGCCCAACTTGTTTCAATCTTTGAAAAACGGCCATTCTTTTTTCTTAATTACACACATAAGTTTTTATTGTATTAATAATAATAATTTCATTTCCATCTCATCACAAATGTATACGCTGTTGATGGCACCAGTCTCACACAATACATTTGTGTGAGATTGGTGCCCGAGAGATCAAGTCAAATAAATGTCACTTAAAGAAAACTTCTTTAACCAACGCAACAATATAATTCACTCTGTATATGCATGAGGCTCAGAACTAGTTGTGTACTGAGCACTGTCAACAATATCGAACAAATCTTACTTTAAACAAAAACTTAGTCAACACTTAATAATAATAATATAAGCCTTTATTCAGACACTGTGTAGTTACATTAATATTAAATTTATCCTAATCAGTTACACCAACATCCCGGTCTGTTTGCCCAATTTTGGTAAAGGCCTCCTCCAATTTCTTCCATTTGGATCTGTTTTGCGATTGCCTTGTCTATGTTTTTCCTGCTATGATTTTTATTTCATCAGCAAAGAATTCAAAGCTGTCTGCCTCTTTGTCTTTTCTCCTCTTGGGTACCAAAATATTATTTTTTTTGTTCCTCATTTCAAAGCCTCTCATCATATGATCCATCCATTTCCACTTTAATATCCTTTGGCAGTCATAAATATGTTAAGACTAGGAGTATGCATGTATTATATAACTTTGTTTTGACACAGTATTTGAAATTTGTTAGCCAAGGTATGTGTAATCTTTTACAAATTCAATTGACTCTGTTCACGATGATAGAGTCTGTAATAATAAAAAATTAAAAAAATTAATTTATATGTGTTGGGTGTGTTATAAAGAAATAAATACTAGACTGGTGGCATCAAATAGAAACAAAATAACAAATTAAAAGTCTCGGGCGCCAGATACCACCTTAAAAGAACACAGAACCCACCACAAACACAACAAATACCTCGGACATCTCAGCCAGCACCGAACCTTTTTAAAACAAGGCGGGAGGCAGCTAATGAATACAAGATGTTAAGTTCTAATGGCTGTTTATTATCCCGTAGTGTCTGTAGAGTACAATGTGTCTTATGTCTCTAATTACAATAGGTAATTCTTATCCACAAATTAGTACTGTCATTAATGCAATCCTTTCCAATAAGAAAAATATAAGGTTAAATAAGTTTTAAAGAGTCACAAGAAGACTTAATAGACAAAACAACAAACTCTAAGGGTAGACATAGCATTGACCCACTCTCTAATAAAAAAATAACACCCCTTGGGGACCTTCAGTATTCAATGCCACGTCGCCAAGAAAAATATAACAAAGCACATACCGATGACCTTGGTTCAGTCCGAATGAAATGAAATCAAACCAACTCCGAAAACTTCTCACTCCGGATCCCACGTGGTGGAAGAGGCGGGTTAGCACTCCCAGGCTCCAGACAATGGCGTACAGCTAAGCAGCTTTTTCTACCATTCTGGCGCTCCACAGCAAACCAATTTCCTGGGGTCAGGACGGCGAGAGACAAAAACCGAATGCCACGCAATGACATTCCAATTAGAAAGTAAAGAAATTTAGGTATTGTAAAGACTTTAGATATAAACTAAAAACCCTGATTCATCTGCAAATAGGGAAAATTATAGGTTAAAAGCCTATCTCACAAGATGAATCCTAACTCTGACAAGAAATCATATATTACTTACCAGGGTCCCAAAATGTTTCACAAACTAAGCAGCGGCATTATAAGCATTGCCTGTAACCAATTAAACAAGGAGTTAAAACCACAAATTCCGCCAAGCCAAGCGTGAAGCACGTGGCCGAACAAAACTTACCTTTTCAATAAAAATAATCACTCGAACCAATAGCTCGAGTCTTAACTAGGTTGGCCAAACATTTAAAGAGGAAATAGGCCCTCGTCCATATCAAATAAATAAGGATTACTAATAAATTAAATTACAAAAAATAGCTTCGCTTCATTTCATTCGGCGGTCAGTCCAAAAGTGACCAACATGTTGCCAGAGCAAAAGCTTGTCGCTCCCAAGAACGTAAAAAAATGTTGCCAAGTCAAGAAAAACTAAATCGACTAACTAACGCGGCGAACAACATCGATTATTACTCTCGTCCGCCCCTCGACCATCGGCACTCGCAGAAACGACATAAAATTCAACCTAAAAAATCAAAAACGAGACTAAGGTTCAAATTACTGTAATGGTGCGAAATGCACCGTTACAAGTCTTTTGATACATTTGTCATGGCTTTAGTTTTGGAAATGTTCATCGTTAGGTCTACCTTGCCGCTTTTACTTTTTAAATCCATAAGCATGCTTTGTAGATGTTCTTTATTTGTGGCGAATAATATGATGTCGTCGTCGAATCGTAAGTGTGTTAGTTTTTCCCCGTTTATATTTAGTCCATGCTGGTCCCATTTTAATTTTCGAAATATGTCTTCTAATACAGTTGTAAATACTTTATGCGATAGCGGGTCTTCCTGTTGTACACCTCTATTTATTGTTATTTCTGCCCCTACTTTTTGTAGTTTTATTCTGGCTGTACTATTGGTGTATACATTTTTTATAGTTATAATGTACTTGGGTTCAACTCCTTGGTTCTTTAGACAATACCAGATGTTTTCATGCTCTAATGAGTCAAATGTCTTGTTATAGTCGATGGAGTAGCAATAGAACAGTACATTGAATTCTTTGTTTTTCTCGGAAATTTGTCTTACCGTGAGTATATGGTCTAACGTTGCCTTGCCTAAAGCCAGCCTGCTCTTTAGGGTGATTTTCATCCAAAGTTCTAGTTATTCGCATTAATAGAATACTTTCGCAAATTTTTTATAAATTACATTTATATTTGTTTATTTCGCCCCTACCGCCCTTTTCGTGAAGTAGAATGATCGTTGATGTAGTGGATATGTTCAGTTATTAGTATATCGTTAAAAATGGGGTTTTACAGTCTGAAAGCTGTTTGTTATTGATTCCGTCAGGGCCAGGGGCTTTGTCTTTTTTCTGTTTCGATTGCCTTGTTTATTTTTTCTACTAGAATAGGTGGTACGTTTTCGTAGCTGTTTAAATCAATAATGTCTATTATGTTTTTGCTGGAAGAAAGGTTTTCGAAGAATTTTGTAGCCGTTGGTAGTATATCAAATCTTTTAGTCTTTTTCTTGAGCAAACTGGCTTTTACATTCGGTATCCAGTAGGTTTTATTAGATAGAAATTTAAGGCCGTTTTTATGAATGATGTTCTCTGTCTTTTCTTATTTAACTGTTTATTTCTTTACTTAATGTTACAATTTTTTCCCTGATGGATTTTGATTAGTTTGTATAGTTAACACTTAATACTTACTAATTAAGCAGAGAGGGTTTTAATTTGTCAGAGAAGTGATTATCTTATTATAAAGATATCCACCAAGAAAACTATAAAGTCTTTGTGTTAGTCTGCAATCCATTTTTTGTTAGTATATTGATTTCGTGATAACCTTAAACTATTATTTATATTTTTATTCCAGGCTACCATGGACGAAACATTAACATCAGTAAGATCGCAAACAGAACCTCTAGTCAATCTAAGACAAGTCTCACATAATGTTATTGAATTAAGAGAGAATGAAAGTAATAGCTTTGAAGAGTCCTTCACTGTGGTGACCACTGTCAAAGAAAAGGGAGATGTTAAAGTCAAGATAGAGATGAAAGAAGAAACAGAGTTGTTAGATAATATAGAAGCTGAGTTCATAAATCAAGATGATGGTAAGTAATATATAAGAACATTTTTATTCAATGATATAATGTTTATCTTTAAAGCCCCACTACATAGTGGCCAGTGATGGGCCATGCTCTGCAATGCGTAACTGTGGGCCATCACCACCATAAATCGAAAACAGAAACAAAATATTAAGAATTAAACACGTCACGCTGCTACCAGTACAAGAGGTGAAGTAAAGAAGGTGGGAGGCGGAGTTGAGTTGCGCGATTGACGCACCGCGCCTTAGGCCGATAGCCAAAAAGCAGTATAACCGGTTTAAATAAAGGAAAGGACGCGTCGCACTCTAGACCGACGTCACACCTACACTATCTATATGCACTCACACAAATGCAAAGCTCAGCTTAGGCCTTGCGGACTGTACCTATCTTTGATTTACCTTCAATTGCACCAAGTTGCGCTGGATGTGGTAATAATCTGATTGATTCAGACATGCATGCCCTCTACAGTTGAAATCCTTTACATCACACATCAACAGCCTTTAATAGTCCGCTGCTGGAGATAGGCCTCTCCTTGGACAGGGGGTTTTGGCCTACTATACTAGATGATGGCTAGATGGGTTCGTATAGCGTTTGTGTCTAGTTTTCCTTCTTTTTGCAGTTTGTCCTGCGTAGTTTGCTTTCTTAATACACGTCATCTGCATATTTTCAGGCAAATCAAAGGTATGTAATGTCTATTGAATTAGTGAATACTTATTAGTAGGTATATCATACTTTTGAACTGCCTAACATTTTGACCAGATTGCACACGCTGTGCACGGACGTGGCCGGATGATCATCACAGGCTGACTCGGTTTGTATATTACAGAATTTCCTGACATGTATCTGAAAGAAGAAGATGAATTTCCTCTCAACACGATGTTAAAAGAAGAACTAGAGATTAGAAATGTTGACAAGTTAAAACTTCTAAATCTAAGTTCAAAAATAAAGAAGGAAGTGAAGAAAAAGGACAGGATAAAAAGAAAAGGCGAAAAGAAGTATAGAAAAGGTATAAATATAAAAGTTCTACTATAAATTCACAAGTGCTGTTTCTGTTAAGTATCTTGTTTTGGTTATGTTAAATGAATATACTTGTTTTATGGTATAAGGGGGCGAACGAGCAGTCGGGTCAACTGATGGTAAGCAACTACCGCCGCCCATGGACACCTACAACTCAAAAGTCACAAGTGTGTTGCCGCCCTTGGAGTCCCTCTCGCTCAAGTCAGAGGGAGGGGGGCTTTGGGCTCCGGTAACCTCACTCACTCAGTGAAAGGCAACGAAAGAGTTGATTTTTTTTTTTTTTTACAGAAATACCTGAAGTAAAAGTGGTATACATTACAAGAAAACAATGTATGGAGGAGCGAACTAAGATGTCAAAAGCTCAGAAGTATTTAGCTTCCGTGTACAAATGTACCAATTGCATCAAGGGCTTCACTTTCAAAGGGAGTTACGACACACACATGGAGAAACATAATCAAGTATGCTCTTAATAAATATAAATGTTATCTCATCAACAGCCTATATTAGCCCACTGCTGGACATAGGCCTCTCCTTAGAAAGGAGGTTTTGGCCTACTTGTTATCTATGTTCCAATAACTCTAAAAGTTTATACTCTTCTAAAAATCTTCTCTTTCCTTGTCTTTCTCATGATTCCAATTTAGTTCGCGCTTCTTTTGTTGTCCAAGCTGTAAATCGCAGGTACTTTTACATAAAATCAGAATTCCCGTAATAAAAGTTTGGTCACAATTCAGTTCCAATCGACTCTCGATCTCACAACTGTCATAATAGGTTTTAGTTTAGAAAGTAGTACATAATTTATATGAGCCACATTTCTGTTTTATAACTGTGACTGTGTGTAACTTTATTGAGTAATAAAAACATTATTTATTTATTTAATAGGTACTCAATACTTTATTACTTCCACAATGTAAATAAATAGGTGACATCAATTTAAGTACAGGAACAATTATGGACCCTGACGGGCCCAGCACAGTTGGTTTGGGAGAGAGGAATTTTTTTTTTTTATTTATTACAATAATTATATAATTTATGAATTTTAGAATAATTTTTTAGAATATATTATCTATTTTCAAAATGTTGCCTTATACTGTAGTAGCTTTTACTAAGTAGAAAGAGTTTTAATTTATTTGTGAAACTGTTATATTTATCTTCGTGTTTTATGGTTTTTGGTAACTTATTGTATATTTTTAGGGTCATTGCAAATGGGCTGGATGAGTGCATTTTGAGTCGGGAGGCAGGTAGATTAAGTCTATCTTTGTGTCTAAGCGTTGTATGGTTTGTATGTCCTCTCTTCTGCTGTAGAACTCTGGGTGTTGTCTAACGAATTTACAGGTTTCAAATATGTAGAAACACGGCAAGGTTAAAATTTTAAGTACGATAAAGTGAGGTATTTTTGTAGTAAAGTATTACCCATCAAAGGTTGACTGTAATGTGATTATATCATATTGTAACCGAAAATTTAATCGATAATCTGCTAGTAAAGTATTGCTAAAATACTTTGCTGTTGTACTACGAAAATAACTTTTATGATATTTGCGAAATCGAGAGTTAATCGGAACTGAATTTTGACCGAACTTTTATTACGAGAATAGGGAATATGCACGTGACACCAAAATGGACAAAATATTTTTATTAGTAATTTTTATTGCTGAAAGAAGATACCCATACAATTGTTTTTAAAATTTATTATAATTTAATGGTGAAATTTAACCATCAAAAATTGGCTTTTTAAGATTCCCTCGCAAATTTCTAAAACGCAACGCTATTGGTTGAATAAAATGTGACGTCAACCTACACTGTCAAGACTGTCAACAAGTTGTGTGTATTTGTAATATTTGGTTTCTGGTGATTATTTGTTTCATTTTAAGTTAATAACTAATACGTTTTCAGTGTTAAATTATTAAATTCCCGTGTAGAAAGACTCAACACAATGACTGAATATACTTTGTCAGGTGCAGTTTTGATATTATTTGGACACAAAGGAACGGCAGAATATTTATAATAAGTTTTTATTGGCTTTGCCGTGGTAATAAGTAAATTTTTATCACTCACTTTTTTAACTTTCACAAACTTTGTGAACTTCACTCCGTTATTGACATCGAATTCGGCTGAAAGTGTAATCTGACGTCACAAAAAAAGCGCCCCAAAATGATAGTGATTTTAATAAAAAATTTTTTGCTTAACGGTTTATATTTCGGATGTGTTATATTTATTTTTGGTAATGTAATAACTAGTAGAATCGTTTAAAAAAATAAAAAAAATACATGCATATTCCCTATTGGCCTTCTGGATATCTGTTTACAAACTACTTAAGAGATTAATGAAAGGAATCAATAGACTTATACTTAACAAGTGTTTATATTAATATATTATTAATGTATTTATATAATGTAAGATATTTTTGCTTATGATTATGTAAGGCATAAAGTAAGTGCCACACTTAAATGGGTATAATATTTTATGCTTGAATTTTTAATTTTTTTTAAATGGTTAAATCATTTTTGCAAATCGTTAAAATGTTTTGCATGACTGCTGCTGTAATTGCAATTTAAAAAAAACTTTTTGCAAATGTTACAGAGCAATGGTGATTTCGAGTGCGACATTTGCAAACAGAGAATGGATTCAGATGATAAATTAGTCAGCCATATAAGATATCATTTAATGTGAGTAGCTTCCACAAAATCTAAACTCAAACTCAAAATATCTTTTTTTCATATTTTTTTAAAATTTAGAACAATTAAAAAAAAGCCGTGTGGTGTCATGGGACACCCGATAGGAACGAAGTTGTGACGATCGAGTAAAACTGATTCGACACGATTTTAATTACAACGCCATCTATGAAAGCGGCTATTACCTACATATTTTTCAGTTGGTTTCTAATTAAAACAATTTATACATTGGTAAAATCTCATTGAGAAATGATGTCGAATACAATATTTTTTGCTCAACCTAAAAACATAAATTTTAATTTTACTGAGATGAAAAGTAATGATTTCCTATCTATTCGATAGATGGCGCTGAATGACTGACAAGTGACAATTCAAAATAAAAAGTGTCGTTACAACTTTTCGTGAGATTTTTTTCGGTCTAGCCCCCTTTCACAACGCGCGATAAGGAACTTCGTTCCAACATGAAAAAAGATATTTATATATTGTTTCTTTTGTAGACTCTAAAATCATAGATCAACATGCGCAATAGCAACAATCTGTTTTGCCAAATATTTAGCAAAATAAATATATTACTAATTGAAATAGATTATGACATAATGATTAATTAATAAAATAGAGAATTGTATTAAATTAAATGCAATACTGTAATTTACTCGTACAATTTATTTGTTTAAAACTTGCTGTGATACTAAATTTTTTAGTAAGGTGTGCTGTTACGTCAGAGTACTACACGGACGCTTAGACCGCGCCTCAATTCTTACCTTGTATGAAAAACTCATACATTTTCACCATAGGGTAATATATTTTTATAATCCAGCAGTTCGATTCACTTCTTCATGAAGTTTTCTTCTTCTTTTTTTTTGAGTGGTAATTTAAGAAAGAAAATATTCCAACTTTTAAAACTAAAGGTGGATAATTAAGGGGTTAATTTAATAGTTTGTTTTTTGCAGTCGATACAAATGTCCAATATGCCGTCTAACACGAAACTGCCGAAAGACAATTAAGGATCACTACTCTGCGTATCACCTTGGAGGCGATCAGTATTACAAGTGCTCACAGTGTGTGAAGACATTCAAGTGAGTCTATTAACATGTCCATTTCTAAGAATTTGACTGCACGGATGGCTTAGTGGTTTAAGCAGTCACCTCGCCGCTTCCTACTGCGCTAAGTGTTGTGGGTTCGATCCACACATGGGATAACACTTTGTGTGATCCCCAAATTGCTGTTCTCAGTCTGGCTGTTCTTTGTGTTCGTTTCATGTAAGTTTGTAAAGTCCCCCGCGACACAGGAATTATTTGTAGTGGGATCTATCTTTAAATTTTTTTAACAATAATCGTTTTATCTTAACATAGATAAATTAATAAGCTTTCACAAATGGGCCGGATGGATCAAAGCGATAGGAAGCTGGTGCTAAGTGCTGGGGCTTAGTTTCACTGAATGAGTTAGGTTAGTTAACATTTTAGAGTTGCGGGTGTCCACGGGCGGCGGTAGTCACTTACCGTCAGGTGATCAGTCAGCTCATTTGTCCCTCTATACCATCGTCGCTGTCAGCCGACTATCGTCGTGAAGATAGAGCAATATGGCGTCCACTGCAACTGCACTGCTCTTTGAAAATGTAAAATTAAAACGAATTAAAATTTTACATTTTCAGTTATCGACTGAATAAATTGCGATTGTAATTGTGTGCTTTTTATTGAGCTATTTAAAAAAATGATTGTAATACCCTATTTTTTATTTATTACATTAATTAAAGCGAATAAAACCAAGTTTAAATTTCACTCGCGTTAGGACGTCACGTTAACAGTTTGCTCCGCACTTATAAATTCAGTGAACCAGTTAAATACAACTTTTAGACAAATATACTACAATACTGTGAAAGACAAGCAAGTGATGTATACAGTGTCGAAAACTTTATCTTGTTTTTTCATCATATAACAAAGTTCTAACTAAAAACATTTTACAAAAATCAAAATTTTGATCCATTATCCCTGACCTACGACAACCCGCGCATCGCTTGTTACATCGTTTTTGCGGACACCTGCACATCGCCGCGCTCGGCTGCTGTTCCTGGAATTTCGATTACCTACGCTTAGTGTGTGTGTGTTCGGTGTCCATACAGCGCTGTATTGCTACGCGGAAAGTGCCGTCTAATATCGCAACAATAACAAACAGCGCTTTATTGCTTTAGAACACCAAGATGCCTTCGAATTGTAAAGCTTGCGGTAAGACTATAAAAGCAAATAATCTTATGGACTGTTCCAAGTGTAAATGCCATTATGATCTGCAATGCATAAATATAAGTTTAGAAGCTTACCAGAAATTTACTTCTAACTTCAAGCTAACTTGGTTATGCCCCACCTGTGTATGTTTACTGCCGAAACGTGGAAATACCACCACTCCAGCTCACAACTCGATCTTAAATTCCGATGACCAGGGTGATAACGTTAACACAGTACGTGGCTCTAAAATTAAATCTACCACCAACCCTGATTGTACACTAAGTGAATTAGTGCAAGAAATCCGTGAGCTTAGACTTGAAGTAAAAGAATTAAAGCAGAAAAACTACGACATCAGTTTATTAAGACAAGACGTACAGGAACTAAAAGAACAACTTGCAAGCCTTCCAAATTTACAGAATTACTTAGATTTTCAAAGAACAATAGAAGCCAAAGACAAAGAGATAGGCAGCTTAAAAATAACGTTATCCCAGTTACATTCAACTGTCAGCTCCTTAGAGCAAAATACACTAAAAAATGAAATAGAGGTTTGTGGTGTCCCTGAGGTAAATAATGAAAATCTTCTACATGTGATATTAACATTATCAAACAAAATAAGTGTAGAATTACACGAAACTGACATAGATAATATATCCAGAGTGGGCCCTAAGCAGAAGTTAGAAAAAGAAACTATACGGCATCGCCCCATTGTCGTCAAATTAACCAGGAAGGCAAAGCGAGATGAACTAATTAAGGCAGCCAGGTCTCGGAAAAACCTCACCTCAGATAACATCGTGAATGGTTTAACCTCTAAAATATATATTAATGAAAGAGTCACAAAGGAAAAGAGACTGTTATTTCGTGCCAGCAGGGAGAGGGCTCAAAACAATGGGTTTCGATTCTGTTGGTTACGAAATGGAACAATTTTCATTAAAAAAGGAGAAAATAATAATGATAATAGACACCCTGCCATACGCATACAAACGACTGAAGACCTGGACAAGTATCTTGGTTTACCCCAAGCAACAAGTAACGAGTAGTTTTAATTCACTTTATTTTCCTTTTGTTTTTATGTTTTTCTACTTTTTAATTTGTATTTTAATTCAAATTTTATTTTGCTCTTTCTTTACATTACTTGCACATATAACTAATTGGAGCTCACAAATATTTAACATTTTAATAAACATCACTGACTTGACAACGCTTCAAACAAAGTTACCAAAACAAACACACAACACAATAACTCAATACATCTGGGCCGATTGTACATCACAAAACACAAATTCAATAAAACACATATACATATCACAATTCATATTATCCTATAGAATGACATTTACAAAAACTTATAGACTGCCTAAAACATCACAAATAATAATATTACCCAAACACAATGACTACACTTGATATGATGCAATTTATTGATAATGCGTATAATATAAAATGTCATTCTATAAGTGCACCAGAAGACTGTCATAATATTCTGCAGAGACATATGATAAAAATACTTACTTTGAATATTCGAAGCATTAACCGCAACTTTGATAGCTTACTGTTAGTTATGAAAAGGCTCAACATCGATCTTGATTTTATTGTCCTAACTGAGTGTTGGATAAACGAAAGTTTCACGTTACCACCTATTCAGGGTTATAGAGGCTTCCATACTACAAAATATATTAATAGGTCAGGCGGAGTAGTAGCATATGTAAGGGATATTTGGTCGCCGAGTGTATATGAACCAGATATTGATGACGCAAACTGTCTAGCTATATATGTCCCAGACATTATAACTGTGTTAGGAATCTACAGATCGCCAGCATTTAAAAATATCGATCGTTTTGTTAACTCTTTGCAAAATGCTAGCCAAATTTTAAATAAAAAGCCATGCACCATTTTTACTGGCGATATCAATATAAATATATCCTATTTAGACGGCAACGATACCACAACATACCTTTGCACTATGGCTGAACTAGGCCTACGCCCAACTGCGGTCAATTCTTGACGCAGTTGGGCGTATGCTGGACGGCCGTCTGGCCGGTCTGGAGGCGAGACTGCCTCCTGCGCCGGTCGTGCGCCCCCCGCTTGCGTCGTCGCAGCGGCCTAAGGCTGCTGCCCCGACTGCGCTCCCTGTTGTGGGAGGCCGCGTGTCATACGCGGCGGCGGCGTCGGCGTCGGCCCCGACTCCACCACCGGCTCCCCAGGGGCCGAGGAGAGCGGCCAAGGCACCGGCCCAGGCGCCAGTCAAGGCGCCAGCCAAGGCGCCGGCCCAGATGCTGGCCAAGACGGGGCCCAAAACGGCGCCGAGGAGTGGAGTGGAGTTCCCTCCGCTCCCCACTCCGACACCCCTGCCGGGCCCCTCCGCACCTGCCCCCTCCAACGAGGTTTGGCAGGAGGTGAGGGGCTCAAAGAAGTCCCGAAGGCGGGCTAGAAGGGCTGCTCAGAAAGCAGCCCAAGCCCAGCCTTCGCCACCGATGGCAACGGCCTCTAAAAAGAGGCCGCGGAAGCTGCAGCCGCCCAAAACCGCGGCTGTAGTGGTTACCTTGTCGCCGGAGGCGGCCAGTGGCGGGCTCACGTATGCGGCCCTCTTCAAGGGGGCCCGGCCTGGTCTCGCCACTGAATTCGGGACGGCGGGGATGAGGCTGCGTCGCGCCCAGACGGGAGCTCGAGTATTCGAGTTCCCTGGGGCTGAAGGCGCGGCGACGGCCGACAAATTCGCCGAGAAGCTGCGGGGAATTTTCGCCACCACGGACGGTGTGAAGATCGCCAGGCCCACCAAATGCGCAGAACTGCGCATCTCGGGCCTGGACGACTCCACCACGTCGGAGGATGTCCGCGATGCAGTCATGGAGAAGACTGGGTGCACCGCGGACACCATCAGAGTCGGCACCGTCCGTCCGGGCCCGGGAAGCCTCGGTGCGGTGTGGGTGAGCTGTCCCGTGGCGTCGGCCAAATTACTGGGCGACCGGAAGCATTCTCGTCGGCTTCGTAAATGCCAGAATCACGGTTCTGGCCGCGAGGCCGATGAGGTGCTTCAAGTGCCTAGCCGCGGGACACACTCGCACCAAGTGCGAGAGCTGTTTTGACTGCAGCGGATTATGCTTCCGCTGCGGTCAACCTGGGCACAAGGCGGCAGAGTGCTCTGCCGCCCCCCACTGCCCGGTGTGTGAGGCGGGCAAAAAGCCCGCCAATCACATGATGGGGCAGGGGGGCTGCAAGCCTCCCCGCGCTTCTCGGCAAACGCCGGGGGCTAGCCTGCCGACCCAGGCTACCCCCGACGTCAATATTGCGTCGACGCCGACGCCCATGGAGGAGGTTGTAGAGACGATCCAGTAATGGATCAAGTCTCCAACCTCCTGGTCCAGACGAATCTCAACCACTGTGCTGCGGCGCAGGATCTCTTCCTGCAAACCATGGCACAGTGGTCGACAGGTGTTGCCGTAGTCGCGGAGCCCTACTTTGTTCCTCCCCGTCCAAACTGGATGGGTGACCGGGACGGCTCCGTGGCAGTCGTCGGCTCCACGGTGGCTCATTCCCCGCCCTTGTCGCTAAGAGACAAGGGTAATGGATATGTTGCCGCCGATTGGGGGGGAATCACCATTTATGGTGTATATTTCTCCCCCAACCGGAGTTTGAACGACTTCGAGGTCTTCCTTAACAACTTGGAGGCCTCGATGCGGCGACTAGTGTCTGGGCACGTCCTCGTGCTGGGGGACTTCAACGCAAAGTCCATTGCGTGGGGTTCCCCTGCGACGGACGCCAGGGGCGAAGCCGTCGAGGAGTGGGCGGCGTCGGTGGGCCTCTGTTTGCTGAACAGAGGCTCCACCAACACGTGCGTGCGACAGCAGGGGGGGTCGATA